CCCGGGAGAGGGGAGCATGGCCTCTGAGCTCACTTCCTCTTCTTCCCAGCATTCTGTTCTGTTTACTCCTCCCACCTATGTTTTAACCTATGAGGGCCAGCCAAGCAGTTTCTTTATTTTTTTAACCAATGACCTTCCTCCATCAGAAGAAGGAGTGGGATCCCCTGGAACTGGAGTTACAGGTGGCTGTGAGCTGCCTGTCATGGGTCTGAGAACCCAGGTTCTCTGAAAGAGAAGCAAACATTCTTAACCTCTGGGTCCATCTCTTCAACCCCTGGACTTTTTTTTTTTTTAAAAAAAAAACAACTCTGTTTTATCTCCCTTATTTTTACTTTACCTTCATTGGTGTTTTGCCTGCAGGTATGTCTGTGTGAGGGTGTCAGAAGCCCTGGAACTGGGGTTACAGACAGGTATGAGCTGGCATGTGGTTGCTGGGAATTGAACTTGGGTCTTCTGGAAGAGCAGCTAGTGCTCTTGTCCATGGAGCCATCTCTCCAGCCCCATACCCTTCTGGTTTTAATTACAGGTCGTTGTTATTAGGGTGGTTTACAGTAGGGTTCTTTAATTTGGCAAATCTACCATCAAGGTATATCATGCCACTTAAAGTGACAGAACTTTAATAATTGTTACTTTTTATTTGTGCACATATATGACACGTATGGGTTCTAAGGATCAAAGACCTCAGGTCATTAGGCTTGGTGGCAAGTGCTTTTAACTGTGGAGCCATCTCAGCGGGCCTGTGCTAGAACTTCAATATTCTATTCCCAGCTCCTCCTTTCCAACCCTCAGGCTGTGCTCATCTTTCTCATGAGTATGTTACTGTTGCTTTGGACTGTCAATTATCCTTTGAAGAGATGTTTGGAAACAGAGGAATCCACAGTTCTTTACGACATGGCTTTTCCATATGAAGTTGAGTATTGTTCTTTCGAGGTCTGTGAAGAAGTTTGCTGGGATTTTGATGGGTATTTGATGGGAATCTGTAGATTGCCTTTGGCAAGATTGCCATTTTTACTATGTTAATTCTACCTACCCAAGAGCATGGGAGATCTTTCCATTTTCTGGTGTCTTCTTCAATTTCTTTCTTCAAAGATTTAAAGTTCTTGTCATAGAGGTCTTCCTCTTGTTTGGTTAGTTACTCCAAGATATTTTTTGTTATTTGTGGCTATTGTGAAGTGTTATGTTTCTCTGATTTCTTTCTCAGCCCATTTATCATCTGTGTAAAGGAGGGCTACTGATTTTTTTTTCTGAATTAATCTTGTATCCTGCTACATTGCTGAAAGTGTTTATGAGTTGTAGAAGTTCCTTGGTAGAATTTTTGGGATCACTTATGTAAACTATCATATCATCAGCAAACAGTGAGAGTTTGACTTCTTTTCCAATTTGTATCCCCTTGATCTCCCTTTGGTGTCTTATTGCTCTAGCTAGGACCTCAAGAATTATATTGAATAGGTATGGAGAGAGTGGACAACCTTGTCTTGTTCCTGATTTTAGTGGGATCACTTTAAATTTCTCTCTATTTAGTTTGATGTTGGCTGTTGGCTTGTTGTATATTGTCTTTATTATGTTTAGGTATGTTCCTTGTATCCCTGCTCTCTCCAAGACCTTTATCATGAAGGGATGTTGTATTTTGTTGAAAGCTTTTTAAGCATCTAATAAAATGATCATGTGTGTGTGTGTTTCAGTTTGTTTATGTGGTGGATTACATTGACAGATTTTTGGATGTTGAACCATCCTTGCATTTCTGGGATGAAGCCTACTTGGTCATGGTAAATGATTTTTCTGATGTGTTCTTGGATTCAGTTTGCCAGTATTTTATTGAGTATTTTTGCATCAATGTTACAGATATTGGTCTGTAATTCTCTTTCTTAGTAATGTCGTTATGTGGTTTGGGTGCCAGGGTAATTGTAGCCTCGTAAGAAGAGTTGGGTAATTTTCCTTCTGTTCTATTGTGTGGAACAATTTGGGGAGTATTGGTATTAGTTCTTTTTGAAAATCTTATAGAATTCTGCACTGAAACCATCTCATCCTGGGCTTTGTTTTTGGAGGGAGACTTTTGATGACTATTTCTATTTCTTTAGCAATTATAGGTTTATTTAATTTGCTTATCTGGTCTTGATTTAATTTTCAGAAGTGATATTTATCCAGAAAGCTGTCCATTTCCTTTAAGTTTTCCAATTTTGTGGAGTACAGGTTTTTGAAGTATGACCTGATGATTCTCTGGATTTCTTCCAGTCTGTTGTTATGTCCCCCTTTTCATTCCTGATTTTGTTAATTTGGATATTCTCTCTCTGCCTTTTGGTTACTTTGGACAAAGGTTTGTCTATTTTGTTGATTTTCTCGAAGAACCAACTCTTTGTCTCACTGATTCCTTGTATTGTTTCTTTTGTTTCTATTTTGTTGATTTCAGCTCTCAATTTGATTATTTCCTGCCGTCTAGTCCTCCTGGGTGAGTTTGCTTCTTTTTGTTCTAGAGTTTTCAGGTGTTCTGTTAACTCACTAGTGTGGGATTTTTCCCAGCTTCTTTATGTAGGCATTTAGTACTATGAATTTTCCTCTTAACACTGCTTTCATTGTGTCCCATAAATTTAGGTATGTTTTGTGATCATTTTCATTGATTTTAGGAAGTCTTTGATTTCTTCCTTTATTTCTTCCTTGACCCATTGATGATTCAGGTGAGCACTGTTTAATTTCTGTGTGTTTCTGGGCTTTCTGGAATCAGTGTTGCTGTTGAATTCTAATTTTAAGCTATGATGATTTGATAGGACACACGGGCTATTCCAATTGTTTTGTATCTGTTGAGGTTTGTTTTGTTACCTAGTATGTGGTCAGTTTTTGAGAAGGTTCCATGAGGTGCTGAGAAGAAGGTATATTCTTTTATGTTTGGATGGAATGTTCTATAAATGTCTGTTGAGTCATAACATCTGTTAGTTCCCTTATTCCTCTGTTAATTTTCTGTCTGCCTGACCTGCCCAGTGGTGAGAGTGGAGTGTTGAAGTCTCCCACTATTATAGTGTGTGGGGTTTAATGTGTGATTTAAGCTTTAGAAGTGTTTCTTTTACATATGAGGGTGCCCTTGTATTTGGGGCATAGATGATCAGTATTGAGATTTCCTCTTGGTGGATTTTTCTTCTGACTTATATGAAATGTCCTTCTTTGTCTCTTTTGATTTATTTTAGTTTGAAGTTTATTTTGTTAGATATTAGGATAGCTACATCAGCTTGTTTCTTAGGTCCATTTGATTGGAATTTTTTCCCCCAACCCTTTACTCTGGGTGATACCTGTCTTTGAGGTTAAGGTATGTTTCTTGTATGCAGCAGAAGGATGGATTCTGTTTTCATATCCAATCTGTTAGCCTGTGTCTTTTAATAGGTGAGTTGAGTCCATTTATGTTAAGGGATATTAATGACCACTGATTGTTACTTCCTGTTATTTTAATTTTCATTGTTGGTGATGTTATTGTGTGTGTTTTTCTTTTCTTTGGGATTTGCTGCTGTGAGATCAGATCATCTGTTGTTTGTGTTTTTGTGAATGTAGCCAACTTCCTTGGGTTGGAGTTTTTCTTCTAATACTTTGTGTAGGGCTGGGTTAGTGGCTAGGTATCGGTTAAATCTGGTTCTGTTACAGAATATCTTATTTTGTCTGTCTATGGTAATTAAAAGTTTTGCTGGGTATAGTCATCTGGGCTGGCATCCCTGGTCTCTTAATGTCTGCATAACGCCTGACCATGACCTTCTGGCTTTGACTGTTTCCATTGAGAAATAAGGTGTAATTCTGATAGGTCTGCCTTTATATGTTACTTAGCCTTTTTCCTTTGTAGCTCTTAATATTCTTTCTTTATTCTGTGTTTTGATTATTATGTGGCAAGGGGATTCTATTTTTGATCCAGTCTATTTGGTGTTCTGTAAGCTTCTTGTATCTTCATATGCATTCTTTCTTTAGTTTGAGAAAGTTTTCTTCTATGATTTTGTTAAATAAATTTTCTGTGCTTTTGAGTTGGACTTCTCCTTCTTCTATCCCTATTATTCTTAGGTTTTGTATTTTCATAGTGTTCCATATTTCCTGGATATTTTGTGGTAAGCTTTTGTTAGATTTAAAGTTTTCTTTGATCAATGAGTCTGTTTCCTCTACTGTATCTTCAGTGCTTGAGATTCTCTCTTCCAAGCTGGGTGTGGTGGTGAATATCTTTAATCCCACCACCGGGGAGGCAGAGCAGGGGGAGTTCTGTGAGGTCGAGTCAGCCAGGATACATAGTGAGACCCTGTCTCAAAATAAATAAATAAAAGACGCTAGTGGGCTCAGTGAACCACTAGACTGTCTCTTGTGGCTCCAAGTGAATGTCTCAAATGTCAGAAACCCTTCAAGTCCACTAACATGCAACCCCCACTAAAAATATGTTATATAGCTGGGCAGTGGTGGTGCATGCCTTAAATTCCCGCACTCAGGAGGCAGAGGCAGGTGGATCTCTGTGAGTTCGAGGCTAACCTGGTCTACAGAGTGAGTTCCAGGATAGGCTTCAAAGCTACGGAGAAAAAAAAAAAGCTACAGAGAAACCCTGTCTCGAAAAACAAAAACAAAAAAAAAAAAGAAAGAAAGAAATTGTTATATCTCAATTTCCATGGATGTCCCTATGCTCAGGGGGCTGCTCAGTGTTACATGCACACCCAGGACCTGTTTCTTGGCATCTTTGTTGTCGGGTGGGCTTTCCCCTCGGCACACCAAGCTTGCCTCAGATTTTCTCAGCTGTCCAGCTGCTTTCCATACTGACCTTCACTGTGCTATTTTCACTATTGTGGCTAACACCAAGAAACAGATTTCTGCTAACTTGACAACAAAACCACGCACTCCTTCCAACAGTGAAAGACAATGTACATGTTCCCAGTCCTCAGTTATCTCTGGGAAGTATATATATGTTAGAAACTTGAGACAGTTTTGGTGAGAGTCTAGCTGCTCCAGGTTGAAGTCATCCCCTGCTTTATAAACTCTACCATATTGTCTGTCACCTGGTTGAGTATTGTGTGAATGCTGCCGTATCGGTTTCCAGTAGCATCATCATATGGAACTTTTAAATAGGATCTAGTCATCCGGTCAAAAATGCAGCAGAGTGAGAAGCATAAGAGAGCTTCAAAGAATTCCAGGAAAACCAGCTGCAACGATAGGAAGCATAGGGAGGTCTCATTGACTCTGACACTCCAGAGTGCACCAGGGATTGACTGGCGATTTCTTATTTGTTATTCCTTCTGCATATGTGCATATGTGTACCACAACACATAGATGAGTGGGAAGGCCAGAGGATGACACGGGGTGTCTTTCTTTACTGCTCCCCACCTTGCTCTTTGAAATGGGGTCTCTCATTGGCTCGCTGATTCAGTTAGGCTGGCTGACCAGCAAGCGCTAGGGATCCTCCTGTTTCCCCCTCCCCAGCACTGGTATCACAAGCATGCACCACCACACCTGGCCTTTTTATGTGGGCGCTGGAGACAGGATCTGAACTCAGGCCCTCACGCTTGCACAGCAAGCACGGCACCAATGCAGCCGTCTCCCCAGGCCCTTTCTAATATTAGTCTCTGGTTTTTGAAAAGGTAACTGTATATACGCATATCCCACTTTTTTTATATACATAAAGCATAAGACACATGCAGCTTAAACTGGATCTGCACCATTTGTAGCAATGGTTTACAAACCTCAAGTTCAAAGTTGCTGTCAGTTCCGTCATACACAAAAGGGTTGTCCTCTGCTATCACAGTCATAAATTTGGTCGCGGTTAAGTCCTTGTTTATCATCCTAAAGTCCTGTGAAAAGATGGCACCAAACAGATGCCTATAAGTGCACGTGGGTATAGATTTTAATGTCCATGACAGCAACATAACACCTTGAGAAAAATGTATCCAGAAGTCAGTAGCTTAAAAACTGATTCTTTTGGAGGTTGAGGTACGAGGATCTGAGGCCAGCCTGGGGTACAAAGAAAGACCCTTCTTTAGATAAGAATTATAGGGAGGCTGGGGAGATGGCTCTGTCAGTAACATGCTTGCTGTGCAAGCGTGAGGACCTGAGCTCCATCCCTACCATCCATGTAAAAAGCCAGCACACAGCGGCATATAATCCCAGTGTAGGGACATGGAGGAGGGTAGATCCCTGAGGCTTGCTGGCCGGCACCCATATTACATGGCTTAATCACTTGTGACTCCAGCTCCAGTCTTTTGGCCTTCAAGGGCACATGCATGCAATGCCATATACTCACACACAGGTACACACATGTATACCTAGATCTAAAAAATTCTTAACCAATGTAAAAGAAATGATACAGAAAGTTATCATTGTACTGTCTCTAGCGAAACAGTGGACATTATTTAGCCAGTGAGGTATGACCACGGGGGCTGCGAAGGCCACCAGTAAAGGTTTATGGAAAACAAAGGATCAGTGGCATGAGCCACTGATGAATCCCTCAGCACTAACAGGAAACATAATGGGAAAGACTAGTAACCCCTGTGGCTTTGCAGAACACAAACATCTGAACCTAAGCAAGTCTCTGTTTCTAGCTGCCACTTTCGTGGACTTGTGGGGAAAAGAAGATGCTGAACCTGACTGTGAGGACACAGTCATCAAGCCAGCGTGCCCACCTCTGCAGGGACGAATGACTGCTTCTTCAGAAAAAAGGAACACAGGAAAGAAGGGAACAAACAGCAGCATAATATTTTACCCCAAAACATATATTTTAAACACATTTCCCTAAATTTAGACAATAGGATTTTGTCACTTTTCATATATATATAATTCTGTTAAGTTCCTAAATACTCTCTCACTAACATTTATTTCCAACTCATTATTTATATTCCCACAAGTACAAATTTAAAATATTTTGGAACAAAGCTAGCAGCAGTCAGTTTGAGAACATGTATACAAAACATGTCAATTGTTTTTCAAACTAATGACTTTGTTTTCTGTTGTTTTGACACAGGATCTTACTAGGTAGTATAGACTGATCTTGAACTCCTGATCTTCCTGCCTTGGCCTCCCAAGTGCTGAGATTATAGGAATTTAACACCATGCTTGGCTTCCAAAGTAATACATTTTAAAACTACTGTTTGATGAGCAACAATTTTTGTTTTGCAGTGCTGGGAACTGTTTTGCCATAGGCAAATATTCCATGGACAAGGTACATTCCAGTTCTGACCAGCTAAAATTTTTATATTTATTTTATTTTCTGTATATGAGTGTTTTGTCTGCATGAATGTATTGCACCATAGCCACACCTGATGCCCAGGGAGGAGGTCAAGAGAAGGCATCAGATCCCATGGAACTGGAGCTACAGATGACTGTGAGCTGCTGTGTGAGTGCTGAGAACTGAACTCAGGCCCCTCTGCAGAAGCAGCCAGTGCTCTGTCACTGAGCTATATCTACAGCCCTAGTGTTGTCTCTTTAGTGATAATTAGGGCTGACAAGATGCCTGAGTGGTAAATGTGCTTGCTAACACACACACACACACACACACACACACACACACACACACACACACCCTGAATCAATAGTAGATACGATGCTTTTTGTCCCTTCCTCTGCATGGCCACATGTGCTCAGGGCTTCCTCTTCCCTGTTCTGGGAGCACGCCAGGCACACACCCCTGGGCCCTTACCTTTGCTATCTGTCTCCTTCTGTGAAAGGAGACTTGTAAGCATTTGGTGGCCCTGAACCGTCACCCCAGATCTTCACCTCTTTAATTATGCAGCATTGATTTATTTTAATTAAAATCAAAGTGCCTATCAACATAAAGGCAACATCAACCCTGAGAGTTATTAAGCTCACTTTCAGCATCCAGAGGAAATACCTCATCTTCATTGTTAGCTCATAGGGCGGGGCTTCGTTTTGTCTGCAGTAGGTCGTGTAAATCTCCCAACACTTATCGATATAATTCATTGAGTAGAGCGTCCGCTGTTGCTCACTGAATAAATGACCTAAAAATACAACATCCAGAAGTGATTACAGGGCTGGGGAGATGGCTCAGTGGAAAAAAAACTCTGTTGTGCAAACATGAGGACCCTAGTACCCAAAAAGCATATGACATAGAAACCTGCCTAAAACCCTAGAGGCAGATGGAACTCTCGGGCAAGCTGGCTAGCTAGATTAGAATAAATATAATCCTATTATTTTTGTATTTACCTTTTACCTGGCAGGCATGTGGATGAATGTTCTCAGTCATCAGTTTTGTAAAACACAAAAAGAGTGATGGGCTTCTGTTCCTATGATGAAAAAGATACCATAATTAATTATTCCAGGAGATGGAGCTTACCTTCCCTCTTCTGAAGAGTGGGCTAGACGTGACAAAACTGGCTTCTAACAAATAGAACTAAGAGCCGGGCGGTGGTGGCGCACTCCTTTAATCCCAGCACTCAGGAGGCAGAGGCGGGCGGATCTCTGTGAGTTTGAGGCCAGCCTGGTCTACAAGAGCTAGCTCCAGGATAGGCTCCAAAGCTACAGAAAAACCCTGTCTCGAAAAACCAAAAAAAAAAAAAAAACCCCAAATAGAATTAAGAAAGGGAAATAGAATAAGTTTATAGCAGAGAAATCTACTGGCAACACTTCACTCTGTGAGCACTAGTCATAAGTCATAGTGAAGTTAGGTGCTGCCAATACTGTTTTGTGAGGAGAAGGTAGGTTCGGTTGGAAAAGCACTTGCTGTGCAAGCCCAAGGACCTGGAATGTACAGAGCTGATGTAAAAGCATGTGTCTGAAATTCCAGAGCTCTACAGATGGGGGACAGTAACAGGAGGATCCCCGGAATCCTGCAGGCCAGCTAGTGTGTGTACACACTGGCAATGACAAAGGGATCTGTGTCAAACAAGGTGGGAAGTGAGGACTGGTACATGAGATGGTCCTCTGACTGTCACATGCATGCCTTGACACACTTGTGCCTGCACACACACACACACACACACACACACACTACACACATACCATAAACATGCACAAAATGATCTAAAAAGTTCAAATCTAGTATTCTGCCCCAAATCTTTCACCTCACCTCAGTGTAATTGTGGGAAACCCAAACTGTGAGACACTTCACAAAATAACCAATGAGCATTTTTTTTTAAGATGGGGAGGTTGTGAAAGACTGTGTAACTGTCACAGACTGACATACTGAGATACTTTGGAGGCAAAATGTAGTGTGAGCTCCTGGGATAGAAAAGGGACCATGGAAAAGGGCAACTTTTGGCTGGGGATGCAGCTCAATAGTAGAATTCTGCCTAGCATGCGTGGTCTCAGGTTTCAGTCCGCACCTTCCATCATGTTTGAGAGGAGGCTCTGAATTCAATGACACTGTGCAGTGCTGGGTCCTTGCTCTGGATGCATCGACTATGGTAAGAGGTTGGTGCTAGGGAAACCCGGGTGCAGGATACATAGGAATTCAATGTACTTAATGCCAACACTTCTGAAAATCTAGTTATGTAGTTATAAGGCTATGTTAATATACATACAAACACATAGAAAGACCAAGAAAGAGAGACAGGCTCTTATGTAGCTCAGGCTGGCCTTGAACTCATTAAGGATGATCTTAATTTCTTTTTTTAAAAAAATAATTTATTTTGCCGGGTGGTGGTGGCTCACGCCTTTAATCCCAGCACTCGGGAGGAAGAGGCAGGCAGATCTCTGTGAGTTCGAGGCCAGCCTGGTCTACAAGAGCTAGTTCCAGGACAGGCACCAAAGCTACAGAAAAACCTTGTCTCGAAAAAATAAAAAAAATTATTTTTATGAGCAGTGATTGGTATTTTGCTTAATGGTATGCCTGTGTGAAGATTTTGGATTCTCTGGAACTGGAGTTACAGACAGTTGTGAGCTGCCATGTGGGGGACAGTGGCTCACACCTTTAATCCCAGCGTTTGGGAGTCACATGCCTTTATAATCTCAGCACTAGGGAGGTGGCGACAGGAGTGATATGGCTGGGCAGAGAGAAAAGTATAAAGGGAAGAGACAGGAACTGAGCATGGAGTCCTCAGGATTCCTGGAGACAGGATCTCGCCCACTTCTGTCTGAGGTAGAGGTAAGAGCCAGTGGCTAGCTGTTTTGCTTTTCTGATCTTTAGGTTGAACACCAATATCTGTCTCTGGTTTTTATTATTTGTGCTACATTTACAGAACTAAAACAACTCAGATGGGGGTTCCCAACTCCATCCTGCACCCAGGCATTGCAGTTGAACTCAATAGAAAAGCTTTGTGAAAACGACCATGGCTACTGTTGAAAAGAGGGTCCACTGGGTCCCCTGGCAGGAACACAGATGTGGCACTTACTGGGTCCCTATGCAGTGCAGGAACGTGCAGGGATGTGCAGATATGGCACTTACTGGGTTCCCTGCAGGGATGTGCAGGGACACAGATGTGGCCCTTACTGGGTCCTCGTGCATGAATGCAGACGTGGCACTTACTGGGTCCCTGTGCAGGGATGCAGATGTGGCACTTACTGGGTCCCTGTTCACTGCAGGGATGTGCAGGGATGCAGATGTGGCACTTACTGGGTCCCCATACAGTGCAGGGAAGTGCAGGGATGCAGAAGTGGCACTTACTGGGTCCCCATGCAAGGATATACAGAGACACAGACATGGCACTTACTGGAACTCTTTGTGATGGATGTGGTGAGCCAACTGGAGGAGGTAATTGAGGAATGTTCTTAAGAGTATAGTTCTGAATGGAGAGTGGATTTCTTCGATTGGTATGCCATTATAGACTGAAAGAAAACTGTTGGTGAGATCGCTACTGTGCAGAAGAGCTCCAGTTACATTATGAGACATTTACAAGAGGCAGGTGGATCTCAGGGAGTTCCAGGCCAGACAGGGCTGTTACACAGAAAGACCCTGTCTTGAAAGACTCCTCCAAAAGATAATTTCATGCATGTATATAATGTGCTTCATCAAACACATACCCTTATTTCCTGCCCTCCAATTCCTCTCCTATTATCCCCATCACCAACTTCATGTGCTTCTTTTTAAAACCCACTGAGTTCCCTTAATGCTGCCTCTATGTGAGTGGGAATAAGACCATCTACTTGACTATGGTTAGCTGGTCAAGGACCACATCCCTGAAGCAAACTGACTCTCCCTCCTTCAGCAGCCATCAGTTGCTAACGGCTCTTCAGCTAGGGGTGAGATTTCATGGGCCCCTCCCCATCTGTGTTGGAATCTGGGCTGGCTTGGCCTTATGCAGGTCTTGCCATGCAGTTGCAGCTGCTGTGAGTTTGCATGTGCAGTGGCCCTATCATGCCTGGCAAATTCCTTTTCACTATAGATGTCCACTACCTTTGGCTCTCGGAATCTTTCCATTCCCTCTTTTACAATGACCCATAAGAACAGATACCCAATCTTGCAAGATTGTTATTAAAAGCCTCACGTCCACTGTATCCTTTTGTCTCTATGTCTATTGGTTTGGGTTTGGGCAGACGCGTTTGTTCCTCACACTGAGCCATCTCCCCATATTCTCTCTCACCACTTCTTGGCTTGTTTCCAGGTAGCAGTAACCGAGAGAGGACGAGAACCCGGGATACTCACCACTTAGCACCCTGTCCATATCTGCAAGGGTGATATTGTGATGGTGAAACCTACAGTCTTTCAGAAATCTCCAGAAGTGAAGCTTGGTCATGAGAAAGGTGTTATCCAGAGAGTGGTCACACCCGAGGCCGCTGTAGAAGCAGTAGATTCTCCTTAACTCTGAAATGTTCCTCAGGACTGCGTATTCCACCTGAAAAGGAGGTCGCGCATGGGACCCAACTGTGCCTCATTAGAACAAAACTAAGAGGCTGGAGAGATGGCTCAGAGGGTAAGGGGGCCTGAGCTCAGTTCCTAGCACCCACATTGGCTGGGATTACAGTATTTGCCATCATGCACAGTGGGTCTCTTTTCTTTTTTAGATTTTTAAATGTTTACGTGTATAGATGTTTTCCTGAACATATGTCAGTACACCATAAGCACACAGCACCAGTGGAGCTAGAAGGTATTGGAGCCCCTGTAACTGGAGTTACAGCTGCTTGTTAGCTACTGTGTAGGTGCTGGGAATTGAACCTGGGGCTTCTGGAAGAGCAGCTCTTAACCACTGGGCTATCTCTCATATCCAGCATAGTAGGCTTCTTTCTCCTGCCTCTTTTATTATTTTTAGATTTATTTATTCTATTTTTCATGTATTAAGTGTTTTGCCTGCATGTACCTATGTGTAACATGTATGTGACTAGTCCAAAGGCACAGAATCCCCTGGAACTGAGTTACAGATGGTTATGAGCCACCATGTTAGTGCTAGGAACCAAAGCCAGGTTCTCTCCAAAAGCAACAAATACTCCTCACAGAGCCATCTCTCCAGTCCCACAATAGGTTTCTTGATTCCTAGGGAGTCCAGAATTTTCTGACCCCACCTTCCATGAATGGGAGGTGATCACAGTCCTGGGCTTCAGTTGGCTCTGAGGCCCTAGGCAATGCCACTGAGTGCTTCCCTCTCACAAAACCTGCTCACTACAGGGTTCCTGTGCAGATTGAGATGGTCTAGAGAGAGCATCCCCCAGGAACGCAGCAGACAGAAACAGTGCCTAAAATGTATAATGGTAAAGGGGATTTTACCTGCTTCTTTTCTTCTTCTTGGGTTTCCTCAGGGTACATGTCCAGTAACAAATTTAAGTCCAGTTCAATACTGGATCCTAACACAGAATGGCTTTTGCTGCCGTCCAACTTTCGCAGGGTCTCTAATGAATGAAGCAAATATGGGGGAAGACTGTGAAAAGCAATGATAATGTGGGCTGGAAAGAAGGCAGCTCAAGGATTTGGCTGCTCTTCGGAGGACCTGAGTTTAGTTCCTAGCACCCATGACAGGCCACTCATGACTGTCTGTAGCTCCAGCTCTAGGGGGTCCAGCAATTTCTTCTGGTCTCTGAGAGCACCACAGACATGGACATGTACATAAATATAAATAAATCTTTCAAAGAAATCCTTTCGTTGTCACATCAGAATGGTTGTTTATCAAAATGTGATTGAAGAGTGCTCAACAACCATGCATTGCGGCACAGGCTATGCACCAGCCGCCAAGGAAGCTGAGGCAGGAGGATTCTATGTTCAAGACCAGCCTGTGCTACAGAGAAACTTTAAGGACAGCCTGGACAGCTTATACTCCTTTTCAAAATTAAAAAATAAGGGTCACTGTGATGGCTCAGTAAGGAAAGATGTTTACTGCCAAAGTGAATGACCTGTGTTTGATCCCTGGGACCTACGGGGTGAAAGGACAAATGGGCTTCCCCAAGTTGTCCTCTGATGACCACATGCATACACACAAACAGCAAATAGAGACATTTTTAGATGAAAAGTTCAAAAGGAGGGCGTGGAAACAGTTCAGTGGTAGAGCACTAGCAGTTCCCACAGTAATGCAGCTCAGCTGGTAGAGGGCTTAGCTCACACACATAAAGCCCTGGTGCCATCTCCAGCACCACATAAACTGGGCACAGTGGTGCACTCCTGCCATCCTGCACTTGGGAGGTGGAGGATGGAGGGTCAGGAGTTCAAGGTCATTCTTGGCTAGTCAGTGAGTTCAAGGCCAGCCTGGACTACAAAAGTGACTTCCAGGATAGCCAGGACTGTTACACAGAGAAACTCTGTCTCAAAAAGAAAAGCAAACAAATAAATACATAAATAAAAGATATTAGTTTACTTTCACCCACCAGGCTCCCTATCAGTACTGGCAGAAGATCCCCGAGGCGGCCGGCTCCTTTGGGAGACATCTGACCGACGGTCCAGGCTGCGTGTGTAATCGATTTCATTTTCAAGGTACTGTGCAATGTGGTCATTGGAAAACAGACCTTCATACACTCGTCCGTTCTTGAAAGTTATCTTGCCCTATGGAACACAATGTCAGATGGTGCGGGAGAGGTATTATTCAGTGTTCATCAGGGGAGTTTTCAAGGGTTTGGATGTTTTGAAGATATGTACTTAGATCACGAAGAATCATCGTCCATTGGGTTTCATATCAGGGTTCCTCCTTCTCTCCTCCTCTTCCTCTTTTTCCAATCTCTCCCCAAGTTTAATCACCTCCAGGCCACAGAATAAACTTATTAACTTTCTGAACGGCCAGCAGAGGGCCCATCTCAGTAGGTACCAACTTCCCTGCTATCTGTCAACCCCAGGATGGTAAGCACTGAGTGAGGTGGACAGACGACCCAGTTCAGCTCTGGGAAATGAGTTGCTTTTCCTTTTCTTAGTGGGTGTGCAATGTGAAGCCTGGAATCATGGGAGAGGGGCAACACAAGGGTAAAGCTGTCAAGTGGGTAGATAGGAAGTGCTGACGTCACTAAGTTAATAGTGCAAGCCAGCCCCAAAGCCCACCTTGCCATTATATATGAAAATTTAAGCTAGATGGTAACTTGCAACTAGCACCCTCATTTATTTGTATACACATATAACAAAAACTGATTAATTCATTTCTGATACCCAGGAAGTAGGTGTTATAAGTAGCTCTAAATGCATGTCATCACCTAACTAAAATAGTTATCTTTACAAAATGAAATGCAGCTTACCAGACACACCCTCACCATATTTCACCAGCTATGCTCACCCTGCCATGCTTTTTGTTGGAAACCCATTCTCCCTCATACATTGCTCCACTGGCATAGTAAAACTTCCCATGTCCGTGACGGAATCCGTTTACAAATGCTCCTATGTATTCGTTTCTCAAAGGATACTGAGAGTTGGGGATTCTCTTTAGAAACCATGTGTATGTTCCAAAGCCGTTCTGAAAAGGAAACACCTTGTCAGCATACAATCCTCAGAATGCCCCCCCTTTACCTACACTCAGATTATGGCAAAGACACTGATAATTTGAAGGGGTAGAGCACACGGACCTAGAACCAGGGCTGGGCTCAGCTTCAGCTCAGCCAACTACTAGCTGTCTTTAGACCTATGGCAAATGGTTTGAGCCCTTTATAAAATTGTAAAAAGGAAATAGCATCTATCTTGTAGGCTGGATCAAAGAAAGCTGCATGAGACCATTACAGAAGACTAAATAATAGATAGAACAGCGACTACCAAGTGTGGTGGAGGGCAGTAAATCGCAACTTTGGGTTTTGTTCTAGCTTCTCCTCTGTTGCTGAGATAAAACACCCCGATGGAAATAGAAAACACTATCCTGAGTGAGGTATCCCAGACCCAAAAAAGATGATCATGGGATGTACTCACTCATAATTGGTTTCTAGCCATAAATAAGGGTCACGGAGTCTACAATAGGTGAATCTAAAGAAGCTAAGTAAGAAGGGGAACCCAAGGAAAAACATATAGTTATCCTCTTGGCTAAGGGAAGTAGACAAAATTGCCGGGGAGAAAATTGGGATCTTGGGGGTGGGGTGGGATGGGGGTAAGGGGAGATGGGGCGAGAAAAGGGAGAAGGGAAGGAGGTCGGGCCTTGGGAAAACAGGAGGATTGGGATAAAGGAAGGTTGGACAGGGAAGCACGGAACCACAATTCTTAGTTAAGGGAGCCACTTTAGGGTTGGCAAGAGACCTGACCCTAGAGGGGCTCCCAGGTGCCCAAGCTGAGGTCCCCAGTTAGTTCCTTGGGCAGTTGAGGAAAGGGAACCTGAAATGACCCTATCCTAGAGCAATACTGACGAATATCTTGCATATCATCATAGAACCTTCATCTGGTGATGGATGGAGATAGAGACAGAGACCCACACTGGAGCACTGGACTGAGCTCCCAAGGTCCCAATGAGGAGCAGAAGGAGGGAGAACATGAGCAAAGAAGTCGGGACCACGAGGGATGCACCCACCCACTGAGACAGTGGAGCTGATCTACTGAGAGCTCACCAAGACCAGCTGGACTGTGACTGAAAAAGCATGGGATAAAACTGGACTCTCTGAACATGGCGAACAATGAGGGCTGATGAGACGCAAAGGACAATGGCATGGGGGTTTGATCCTACGTAATGTGATGGCTTTGTGGGAGCCTAGCCAGTTTGGATGTTCACCTTCCTAGATATGGACGGAGGTGGGAGGTCCTAGGTCTTAACACAGGGCAGAAAACCCTGACTGCTCTTTGGACTGGAGAGGGAGGGGGAAAGGAGTGGGGGGAGGGGGACAAGGGTGGGAGGATGGGGCGTAGGGTGGGAGGAGGGGGAGGGAAATGGGAGGCTGGGAGGAGGTGGAAACTTGTTTTTGTTTTTTTTTCTCCTTTTCTCAATAAAAAAAGAAAAGAAAGAAAAAAAAGAAGCACAGAATTTGAAAGACAGAAAGGATTGGTATATGAGAGGGTTTGGAGGGAGAAAAGAAAAGGAAGATATGGTGTCATTATATTGCAATCTCTTTAAAAAAATATTAAAATGTTTTCATCTTTTCCTTAAAAAAAAAAAAACCGACAAAAGCACCCTGGGGGAGGAGGAGGGTTTGGACGACGTCACTCCAGGGAGGCTACAGTGGCAGAAGCTTGAGACAGCGGGTCACACTGCATCCCTAGTCAAGGCAGAGCGCAATGGATGCGTGCACAGCTAGCTTTCTCCAGTTAATAGAGTACAGATCCTTGGCCAGGGAACGGTCCCTTCCACAATTAAGATAGGTGTTCCCACATCAATGAAAGTATCAAAATAGTGTATCCCAGGCTCTCCCAGAGGCCCATCTCACAGGTGACTCTAGATCCTGCGAGCCAGCAGGCAGTTAACACTATCCATTACGAGTTTCTTAGAGAAGCTGTGTTTAAATGTCAGCTGCCACACGGTATGACTCTGGTCAGCCCCGCCCACCTCAGGCTGCGACCCAGGCGATGGGCAGGTGCCTACCTGGATCCCCTTCTCCCAGTGGCCAGTGTACTCCTCGTTTGTGGTCAGCCACCTCATTCTGCCTTCCCCATGACGCATATTGTTTTCCCACTGGCCTTCATATATGTTTCCTGACTTGTAGCTGGGACCAAAGAAGCCAATGATGAACAACTAGTTCACACAGACAACATTTGCCTTTAATGCCCTTCAACTCACCCCTAAAACCACTTCTCAGAAAATACAACCCAGGACACTGTTCTCAGTACTGACAACTAGCAGTACCTGGTTGGCAAAAAATATTCATATTAGGGAGTGAAATGATTCCCTTTATTAAAGAGTGAGGATTTACATCTTTTAGAAACAACTCTTATTGTTTTGTGATTAATTAACATTTCATCACTAAATACTATCAATTTTGGGCATGTATGTGGTATGTGCACTTGTGCGAGTGGAGACCCAAGGCTGACACCAGGTGTATTTCCTCTGTTGTTTTTCATCTTTATTCTTTGAGACAGGATCTCTCGCTGAACCTGAAGCTCACCAATTTGGTGGGATAGGGTGTTTTTAATAAGTTTTAAGGATCCTCCTCTGCTCCCCTGTGCTGAGGTTACAGGCACATGCTACTATACCCAGCATTTTTTTAAGATTTATTTATTTATTCATGTGTATGAGTGCTCTGTCTCCATGTATGACTCTATGCCAGAAGAGAACATCAGATCCCACTATGGATGGTTATGAGCCATCATGTGGGTGCTGGAAATTGAACTCAGGACCCCTGGAAGAGCAGCCAGTGCTCTTGACTGCTGAGTTATTCTCTCCCTCCCCCTCTCCCACTTTCCTTTGAGACAGGGTTTCACTGTGTAGCCCTGGCTAGCCTCGAACTCACTCTGTAGACCAGGCTAGCCTCGAGCTCAGAGATGCACCTGCCTCTGCCTTCCGAGTGCTTGGATTAAAGGTGTGTGCCATCACTGCCTGGCTATTCCCGGCATCTTATGTGAGTGCTGGGGATTTGTTAGACCCCATGCTTTCCTGGCATGACCATTACCAACTGATGCACCTCCCTAGCCCAGTAATTAAGAGCACTTGCTACTCTTCCACAGGACCAGGGTTCCATTCCCCAGCATCCCCGATGGACAATTCACAACCACCTGTAATTCCAGCTTGAGGAGACCTGACACACCCCTCTGGATTCAAAGGCACCAATACATATGTGCAAACACATATACACATAAATAAAAAAAATCTTAAAAAAACATATAGCCCTGCTGGGCATGAGGTACAGGTTTGTAATTACAACCCTTGGGAGGCAGAAAAAGGAGACTCTGGAGTTCACGGTCAGCAAGAACTTGTACATAAAGAGCCAACAGGGCAGGGGCTGTAGCTCAGTGGTAGAGGGCTTGCTCAGCATGTCCAGGCCTTGGGTTCAATCCCTAGCACTGCCAAAACGAAAATAACAACAACAAATGACTATCAGCTCACTCCAAAACCAAGCAAAAAATATTGCTGTTCCTCAGAAAACATTCAGGAATGTGATCTGTGATGAATGCAGAGGACAGAGGAAGGCAATTTCTACTTATAACTGAGTGAAATGTACCATCAGACGCTTAGTATGTTTTTACGAGTTTCCCACAGGACGTTTTCATTATTATGGAGAGTCTACCTGGAGTAATTGAAATCTCCACTGTACTTGGACGGAAAATGTGTTCTCCGTCGTTTCTGCACCTTATCTTTAGCCTGGGTGAGAATGAAGTGAGCCTCTAAAAGCTTTTCGCCCACAACCCAAATGTGGAGGGAAAGGTTGCACCTACCATCTTATTCCCCAGCCCTTTTTGATGTTGTATACCCAGTCTCCCTCATACCAAGAGGTTCCCTCTTGATTGTAATAGATGGAGCCCTAAAACAAACAATATTAGGAGAAATCAAGACTCATGATGCAAATCCTCTTGGAAACATAAAGATCAGACATGCAAATCTAAGAACTATAAACTATGCAGAAGTCAATATCACAGTTGCCAAGACACATAACCCATAATGCTTTGGTTTTGCAGACCAAGTGAGCTAGGGAAATGTGGGTAAAAGTGCTTCTTATGCAAGCAGGAGGATCTGAGTTCAGATTCCAGAATCCACAGAAACAAGCTGGACACCCAGTGTAAACAACTGCCATCCCAGCACTCCTGCTAGGAAATGGGAGATGGAGACAGGGGACCCTCCAGGAGCACAGGGCTGCAGCTAGCACTCTGTACACATCCGTGAATAACAAGAGACCTGCTGCAAATGAGGTGAAAGAGGAGGACATGCACCCGAGGTTGTCCTCTGACCTTCATATGCACACCATGAAGAAGCACACGAACACTCATAAAGTGTGTACACCAACATCACAAGTCAGCCACTTCTTGTGCGAGTCAGACATATGTTTTTAGGGGAGAAACACCTTGCAGAAACAACTCAATGGAGGGATTACTTATTTTGGTTTGTGGTTTCAGAGATTTCAGTCCATCTGCCTCAGTTCTGTTAGTCAGGGGCCAGTGGAGAGGCAGAGTGTCATGGCAGTAATCATTTGGCAGGAGCAGCTCATCTGTGACAGACAGGAAGTACAGAGGAGCAGGAAAGGGCCAGGGACAAGCTAGTTCCCAAATTGCCAGCTCCCAGTACCTGCTTTCTCAAGCTAGGTCTCACCTCCTGTCAGGGCCATCCAACCCTTTGACATTGAGACTTGATATTGCTATCTATAAGTATGTTAGGTCTTATTCATGGTATCTGGGGATAAATAGGGCCCAAAGTTCACACATTGACCATGCCTGTTTTCCAGAAACTCCCAATTAGGACCATCAGCTAGAGGCCAAGTCCCTCACACATGAGCCTATGAGGAACATTTCCTAGTCACACCAATACATGTCTGAATAATAAAATGTTCTAAGAAGGCATGGATCAGATAGAGAATCCCATCTTCAGTTAGGCATGGTGGCTCATACCTATAATCCCCACACTTAGGCAGTGAGGCAGAAAGATCACCCCCCAAGTTGGAGACCAGCCTGGGATACAGGGTAAGAGCCTGTTTCAAAACAAACAAAGGTAACTCATCAGGGAAAAGGTGCTTTCCTCCTAGTCCTGTGACCTTAGACCCACATGGTAGAGAGAATCAACGTCTACAAACTGTCTTCCGACCTCCACATGCACATCATGGAGTGCGTATGTGTGTCTGTGTGTGTACTTGCACATGTGTACACACACATATAATTAAATGTAATAAAAAGATGAAAATAGCTCAAATGTCCATTAACAGATGAATAGACAAATTATAGTACATATTTACAATCAACTATTACCAACACAAGTCACAACTTAGATGAATCTTGAAAATATTATGCTTAGTGAAACAGCTAGGCACAAAAGGTCACATATTATTTGATTCCATTTATACAAAAATGACTGTTATAGTTTGGATATAAAATGTCCCCGACAAGTTCAGTGCTTAATACTTAGTTTCCAGTTGCCAGTGTTATTTTGGAAGGTTCTGGAAACTTTAGAAGATTGGGGCCTATGGGGAGGAGTAGGTCACTGAGGGGTGCATTCTTGGGGGCTGTTGCATCTTGTGCTGGCTCCATCTCTCTTCCTCCTGTCTACCATGAGGCAGCAGTCTCTACAGGCTTCCACCACTGTCATATGTGATAGGCCAGGAACAGCACCATTGGCCATGGACTGAACCCTCTGAAACTGTGAGCCAAAAGCTATCTTTTCCTTCCTCGGTTGATTCTGTTAAGTTGTTATTGCTGGTAGTAGTGGTGGGTTGTTTTGTTTTCTTTTGAGACAAGGTTTCCCTATGTCCTTTGGCTGGCCTGGAACTCGCTCTGTAGATCAGGTTGACCTCAAACTCACAGACATATACCTGCCTTTGCCTCACAAATGCTGGGATTAAAGGTGTGCCACCCGAGCAAGGAACTCAGGACCGTGAGGGGTGCACCCACACACTGAGACAATGGGGATGTTCTATCGGGAACTCACCAAGGCCAGCTGGCCTGGGTCTGAAAAAGCATGGGATAAAACCGGACTCACTGAACATAGCGGATAATGAGGACTACTGGAGAACTCAAGAACAATGGCACTGGGTTTTTGATCCTACTGCACGTACTGGCTTTGTGGGAGCTTAGGCAGTTTGGATGCTCACCTTACTAGACCTGGATGGAGGTGGGTAGTCCTTGGACTTCCCACAGGGCAGGGAACCCTGATTGCTGTTCGGGCTGATGGAGGGAGGGGGATTTGATTGGGGGAGGGGGAGGGAAATGGAAGGCGGTGGCAGGGAGGAGGCAGAAATCTTAAATAAATAAATAAATAAATAAAATAAATAAATAAAGGTGTGCCACCATGCCTGTCAAGGGTTTGTGTCACAGTGCCAAAACGTCTGACTGACACAATGTCTAAGAGGTAAACCCATACATATAGCAAGTAGATTGGTAAGCAATTGCTAGGGGTGTGGAGTGGGAGGGATGAGGGATGACTTCCTAATGTATATGTTTCATTTCATGGTGCTGAAAATGTTTTTAGTGATTATGGTTGTACAATGCTATGAATGGTTAAGTTTACATCACGTAGACATTTACATGGACGGGATTCTTTCACGGGTACACCTCACCTACCTTCCCATGTCTCTTGCCGTGACACCAGTGGCCTATGTAGGACACAGGCTGTGTGCCACACTTGAACATACCAAATCCATTCCTCATGCCGTTGATCACTTCTCCTTCGTATGTGCTGCCATCTGGCCATGTGTACACGCCATGGTTCATGGGGATATTCTTCACAAAGTCCCCCTAAAACAAAATGGCCACCAGAGTGACAGGAGAGGACAATGAAGGGACTCCACACCCAGGGGCTGTTTGAGAGTCTCCTGACCACTACTGACTGCCCCTGGTTCTTCTGTGGAAGTGGTGGGTGTGGCCTTCACATCCTCTTCTCCGTGTTCCCCATCCTCTCTCACCCTGTTCTTTCAGTGCATGGATGTTCAGGAAGAAGAAAGCTCTGAGAAGCAAGCAGGTGACCTGGTAATGTGGTGGCTGCCAATCCTGACCTTAACTTTAGTCTGTCAGGATCTACCTTGGAGAGGTCTGGATGACCATCCAGGTATTGATCACCCGTGGAAAACCTCTGTCTCACCATGGTTCACCAAAACATCCTGCAGATGTGTTCGTCAAGGGCCCACCTTACGAGCATCTTCTGAAAACCTCACTGTGTGCTGGTGGAGGGTGCCTCATTGTGAGCAGCTCATGGTGATGTGCGCCATGGCCCAAAGATGTGAGGTTCTCTCCCAGAGCGGTTCTGTTGGTAATGTTGGTAGTGGTGCTGGGAATGAACGTGGGCTCCCCACGTGCTAAGCTGGTGCTCTGCCACAACTCTAAGACTAGGAATTCACTAGATAATCATCAGTCACTAGAGGACACAGCCATTGGCGTTGGCCATTGGCCAAATAGCATATTGGTGCTCCCTGGCTCAATAAACCTGAGAATGTCTCAAGAGCCACCATCTTACCCATGAACTCCCTTTGCTGGGCTGATCGTGGAGGATTCTGTGCTTGCAAAGGAGAACCCTCAACCTCCAGAGAACTTCCAGAGACAGTGAAGCAGAAGGACCTGCCTGGCAAAACCACCACTCAGGGCTCAGAAACCTTGAGTGCTGGTTGCAGGCTAGGTGGGTGTGTCATGGAAAGGGAGTTCTCTCAGAAAGCCAGGCCCTAACACACTGCCCTCCTGTGCCCATTCCTCTGCAGCTCCTGTCCCACTGCCCAGCTGTCATTTGAATGCATGTGCTATATGCATGTGCCTTAAATATCTCTGCTACCATTTACGAACACCATGACATTAGTAACTCTGCGGTAGACATTTCTAGAACAGCACTTCAGGCACTCACAGGCTTTGTGGGTGGGAGCTGAAACTGGCACTGTCTCTTGGAGGGCAAATCTGTTCTCAGTTCTCACAGTCAGTTTAAAAATACCCACTTCCCCTCAGCCCAGCAACCCAGATGGTCTTTGTGAAACCCCCATAATGGAATACGTGCAGTCAGTATAAACAGATCTCTGTGGATGGGTACGGCTTACTTAGGAAAGAATAAAGGAATAAAAGAGACTATGTAAACTGTGCCTATACAAAGCATGAGGGAATTAAACATACATCTGTGTGCTATACATGCAGAGAACATATAGATTACCACCAAACTCCATCCATGTGTGTTGCACACACACAGGACACCTCTAGAACAACAAATAACCAGCTACAGTGATTTCCAGACACCTGATGCAGTCATTAAGTCACTACACTGAACACCCAGGTTAGTCTCTGTACCCTTCTGTGCTCGGCACTTTGGTTCTGGGTTAACCCTAACCTTCTCATTTGTTTTTCTTTTTCTGAAATAGGGTCTTACTGTGCAGACTCAGGATGGCATGGAATTCAAAATCTCCTACCTCAACTTCCCAAGTGCTGGAATTACATGACACCAGTTCTGTCTGTGCTAACTTACTTGTTTTGTTTGTTGGCTTTTTTGTGACAGGGTCTCATTATATAGTTCTAGCTGTCCTGGAACTCACTATGTAGACCAGGCTGACCTCAAACCCACAGATATCTGCCTGCCTTCAAAACGCTGGAATTAAAGGTGTGCACCAACATGCCTAACCTAACTTACTTTTTGTTTGTTTGTTTTGCTTTTTGAAACAGGGTTTCCCTGTGTAGCCTTAGCTGTCCTGGAACTCACTCTGTAGACCAAGCTGGCCTTGAACTCACAGAGATCTACCTGCCTCTGTCTCCTGAGTGTTGGGATTAAAGGCGTGCACCACCACTGCCTGGCCTAACTTACTTTTGTAAAAATAGTATTATCTAGATGGCTAGAGAGATAGTTCAACAGTTAAGAGCATGTATTGCTCTTTTAGAGAACATGAGTGCAGTTACCAGTATTCATATCATATCATCCCAATTGCATGTGACTCCATCTCCAGAGGAATCAATAGCCTCTTCTGGCCTCTGAGAGGACTTGAACTCACTGGACATAGCAACATGCAGACAAGCGCTCTCTCTCTCTCTCTCTCTCTCTCTCTCTCTCTCTCTCTCTCACACACACACACACACACACACACACACAATTTAAAAAATAAAAGTGAATTCTTTAAAAATAGTGTAGTACATTGACCATTAAACTCTACAGTTGACTCTAACCCATGATGCTGCTTTACCTCATATTTCAGTCCATCAGCCCAGATATAAGTCCCTTGTCCATGCATCAGCCCTTCTGAAAACATACCCTAAGAAAGAAACAACAGTGGACCTTAGACGGGAGCTGCGGCTCATCGGAGACTGGAATTCTGTTCATCCCTTTACCCACGGGAGTGTGCTGGCTGCCTGGGACAGCAGCAGGGTGACTGCTCTGAGCATACACCGCACGGTGATCCAGCCCAGCCAGGAAGGATCCCAGGAGGCGTTTAAAACACTCTTAAAACTCAGATCTGATCACCAGAGGCATTTTCTCCTAAGTAAGTGCCTGGAAAATATCTGAACTGTGGCCCAAAAGAATCCAAATACCTTTGATTTTGCACTTTGATCCTTCAGGATTGGGGCTGAGGATGAAGTTCAATGGTTGAATGACTGACTAGCATGTTCAAGGCCCTGGGCCCTATCCCCTACATTGTAAAAATAAAACCAAACCGAAGCCATATATATGTGTGTGTGTGTGTGTGTGTGTGTGTGTGTGTGTAATTTATATATATATATATTACATACATATATATGTATATATATTACATACATATACTCTTACTGGAAATGATCAGTGTTCATGTGCACATGTCTGTGTCCTGACAGACACATACATGTATGGCTATGTATGTACGTGTGCATAATTTAGGCTCAAGGGGATCCAGTGCTCTCTTTTGGCCTCCATGGGCATCTGCTCACATACACATAAGATTTAAAAATCTTTAAGAAGTATTCTACCATAATAAACACCTATTTCTGATAATCTGAATGAATGAAAACGAATATCTTAATTGTGTCCTACAAATAATGTGGATATGTTCAAGGCCACTAGACTGTCTACTTAAAAGGGTTAAAATAACAAATGTTGGGTATGCTTCAAGTTTTTTAAAAATTTGTCTTGTATTTTGGTGTGGGTCCTACAATGATGAAAGTCATAGAGTAATACATAAAAATTTATAAGTGAAAGCAGTTCCAACTGTACTCTATCATTGTGTGGTTAACATGTAAGAATCGATGGACCTGTTCAAAGAACAGAAGAAACCATGCTACCTGAGTGTGTTTATAGCAAAATGACAGTGAGACTGAGGGTGCTCTTTAGGGTTCATCGGTTTTTATTTTCGCAGTGCCAGGCATGGAGCCAGGGGTTTGTGCACGTTCGGCAAGTGCTCTACCATTGTGCTACCCTACCCCAGGCCTGAGGCTCTGCTCATCGCAGTAGGCCTGAGTTCCATCTCTGTTGTTGTGATAAAGCAACTTGGAGAGAGGATTGATTTGGCTCACACTTCCAGCTCACAGTCCACTGAGTCAGGACAGAACTCGAGAGGGAACTTGAAGCAGAAACCACGAAGGAATGCTGATGGCTTTTACTTATCTAGCTTCCTTTATTTTCTGTTTTTAAGAGACAGGGATTCTCTGTAGCTTTGGAGCCTGTCTTGGAACTAGCTCTTGTAGACCAGGCTGGCTTCGAACTCACAGAGATCTGCCTGCCTCTGCCTCCTGAGTGCTGGGATTAAAGGTATGTGCCACCATCTCCTGGATTATCTAGCTTTCTTATACCACTCAGGACCACCTGCCTAGGGGATAACACCACCTAATATATCAAATATATGGTCCCTCCTACATCAGTCAACGATCAACACAATCCCCCACATACATGCCTATAAGCCAAATTGATCTGGATGATCCCTCAACTGAGACTTCCTTCTTAGGTGACTCTAGGCTATGTCAAGTTAACAATTAAAACTAGAGCAACCTCTGTGTTAAATCTGTAGACCGAACCAAATACAGATAAAAGACATTTGGGGGAAAGAAGTCAGACTGTACTATGTAAGTTAGGACTACAACAACTGCATCTGTACTAGACACGTACTTTTTAAAAAAAGATCATCTCCCCTGAAAGGTACAGTCTAACAACTATTTCCATAGAATCTGGATTATATTCAGTATTGTAAATTGTGCAGACATTGTCAAGGAATATGTGAGGGCAGTGGGTGCAGGTTGGTGGCAGGGCACTTGGGTAGCACACCCAGGTCGCTATAGGCCCTGGATTCCATCCTCAGTACACCACAAGGACAAGCGACAACAAAATACTTGGGAGGATATGCATAGGCTCTTTTTTTTTTTAAAAGATTTTTTTTTGTTTTGTTTTTTCAAGACAGGGTTTCTCTGTGGTTTTGGAGCCTGTCCTGGAACTAGCTCTTGTAGACCAGGCTGGTCTCGAACTCACAGAGATCTGCCTGCCTCTGCCTCCTGAGTGCTGGGACTAAAGGCGTGCGCCACCACCGCACGGCCAAGATTTATTTTTATCTGTGTGCATGTGTGGCACACAGAAAGCGCAGTGCTTCCAGAGGCCAGAAGGGAGAATCACATCCCCTGGATTTGGAGGTACAGGTAGTTGTGAGCTGTCATTCTGATGCTGGGAAACAAACACTGGTCCTCTTCTACAAGAGCAACAAACGTTCTTAACTGTTGAGCCACCTCTCTAGCCCCAGTGGTATGTGCAGGGTCTATGCAAACACGACAGCATTTTGTGGGGGGGACTTAAGCATCCAACTTTGGCATTGAGCCTATGGATGATAGTTTTTTACCTAGTGACATATCTATGCCTTGCCAATAGTTGAAAATCAGGGAAAACACCCTAAAATAAGTCAGTTATACTGAGTCATACTTTACCTTAGGCAGGAGGGAGGGGTTCAGAATAAAAACAGTCTGTGGTAGTTCTGATGGTTTTAGAGGAATCGGAGGAATTCACTCAAGCCCTGAAAATCTAAGACTTTCAGCTCCCCCTTCCCCCAGCCTTCCTGGCTCCAGTAATTATGACTTACATGGTAGGTGTTTCCACCTTGAAAGACAGCGAAGCCTTCTCCCTCATACAGTCCTCGGATTTTCTCTCCTTCATAGCTACAAAGAAATAGAGTTCAAACTCATAAGTGGTGTGGGTAGAGCACATGGTACATCAGGGTCACGCAGCTGTCGGTGTGGTACATGGGTTCTGTCTGGGAAGAGGGACAGGATATTCTGGAGACAGAACCCAATGCTAGCTTTAAAACACTGTGAGTGGCTGGGCGGTGGTGGCACACGCCTTTAATCCCAGCACTCGGGAGGCAGAGGCAGACGGATCTCTGTGAGTTCGAGACCAGCCTGGTCTACAAGAGCTAGTTCCAGGACAGGCTCCAAAACCACAGAGAAACCCTGTCTCGAAAAAAACCAAAAAACCAAAACCAAAAACAAAAAACAACACTGTGAGTGCATTTAATACCCCAAACTATACATCTTATTTATTTCAATTTTTAAAAAAACTCTCTGTTTTTACAGAGAGATGGTTTATGTGTGCACATGAAAGTGATCTGGACTCGTCCTTTACTGCTCTTCCACCTCACCCATGAGGCAGGGTCTCTCAATCAAACCCTGAGCTTGCCGGTATGGCTAGTCTTCCTAGCCAGTTTGCTCTAGGGATTCCCTGTCTCTATCTTCCAAAGCCTGAATTATAGACTGGTGGACCACATGTTCACCTGGCGTTTACCTAAGTTTCTAGGATCTGACTTTGGTCCTTACGTTTGTATGGTCAGCAATTCAGCTACTGGGCCATCTTATTAGTCCCTGAATTATACATTTTAAATGGTCAAAATAGCAAATTTTATGTATTTTTACTGAAAACAAATTGTTCTTTGGGCTGCTAGCTCACAAAAAAATGACATGAATTAATTATGAAAAGCTCAATCTATAGCTTAGGCATGTCCCATTAGCCCTTATAACTTAAACTATCCCATTTGTATTTTTCTACATTTTGATTTGTGGCTTTTTATCTCTATTTCATCTTGCACCTCCTGTTTCTTCTCTGTGTCCTCTGGCATCTCTCTTGCTGCTTAGATTCATCTCTCTCTCTCTCTCTTTCTCTCTCTCTCTGCCCAGAAGTCCCACCTAACCTCTTCCTGCCTAGTTATTGGCCATTCAGCTATTTATTTATTTGTTTTTTTTTTTTTTTTTGATTTTCGAGACAGGGTTTCTCCGTAGCTTTTTGGTTCCTGTCCTGGAACTAGCTCTTGTAGACCAGGCTGGTCTCGAACTCACAGAGATCCGCCTGCCTCTGTGTCCTGAGTGCTGGGATTAAAGGCGTGCGCCACCACCACCCGGCTATCAGCTCTTTATTAAACCAAGCAGAAGGTGCCTTGGCAAAGATACATTTTCACAGTATACAAAAAGATTTTTCTACATTTTACTATGATAAAAACATTCTTGAAGGACTGGAGTGATGGTTCAGTGGTTGCTCTTGCAGAGAACCTGGGTTGGATTCCCAGGTGGTGGCTCACAACCACCTGTAACTCCAGTTCTAGGGGATCTGACGCTCTCTTCTGGCTTCTGTGGGCACTGCACACATGTGCACAGACAGACATGCAAGCAAACACTCATATACATAAAGATTAGAAAGAAATACATCTTTAAGAACCGTTTTTAAAAGGTTTTTAGGGAGCTGGGAAAATGACTCAGTTGATAAAATACCTGACACATAAACCTAAGGACCCGAGTTCAGATCCCCCGTGCCCACTTCGAGTCAGGTGCAAGAGCACACATCAGTCAGTAAACACACACCATGAAAATATAATGACCGAGTTCAGAGATCAACACCCATATTACAAAAATTTAAAAAAAGAAAGAACGGAAAGAAAAGCTAGGCATTGCTGTACACCTGTGTAATTCCAGCATCCCAGTGCTGGGGAGACAGAGTCAAGGATCTCTGGAGCTTGCTGGCCAGACCATCCAACCAAATCAGTGAGTTCCACACTCACACACAAAAGTGTTTTTGGAGGTAGAGAATTGCAGGATCATAAAACTGTATGTGCTAGGTGGTGGTGATGGTAGAGGTGCAGGCCTTTAATCCCAGCACTCAGGAGGCAGAGGCAGGCGAATCTCTGAGTTCAAAGCCAGTCTGGTTTACAGAGTGAGTTCCAGGATGACCAGGGATACACAGAGAAACCATGTCTCAAACAGACAAAACCACCACCACCACCACCAACAACAACAATAAAACACACTTCCATGTGACATTTGGCTAACAGAGACTGGCCCTGTCAGCCCCAAGAAAGTTACCTTTCCACAATGAGTTTTGTCAGGATGGGCTCTTCATACTGGGTTTCATCTTCATTCTGATACATATTTGCAGAGTCTCTTTTGGGAGCCAACTGCTTGAGTGGCATTTCCAATACTGGGAGGGCACCAGCAGGTACTTCTTGCTTCCCAGCGCCATCTTTGAAAGCCTCTGGGTTTTCCGAATTGGAGGACGGAGACCGGGCCGACTTATCGCCTTTCTTGTCTGCTTTTTTCTTTTCTTTCACCATGGCCTTTGGAAGAGGTAGAGTTTACCTTAGATACAGAGTTAGCCAACGATTCCTTTGGTAGGCTGAAGTGTTATTTCAAAGCATGCACGGGTTTTACCTGAAAAATTATGTCTATAAATACTTGGTTGTTTCAATCGTAAAAATTATTATCATTGTACTAAAGCCTGTGTAACAACAAATATCATTCATTTAGGTAAATAATTCAATTTCAATGTTGTATGACTGTTTAAACATGTTTAATATTAGAACCATTATAAAACATTATTTATTTCATTTACAATTTTATTGCATTTATTTATCTGTTAACTTTGTGCATATGGGTATGTGTGGGGGTACCTGTGTGCCATGGCACGGGTGTGGAAGATAAACCACAGTTTTCTGCAGGTGCTTCTCTCCCGTCATAATGAGTGTCCTGGGGATCAAACTCAGCTTGTCTGGCTTGGCAGCAAGCACCTTTAACCACTGAGCCACTTTTGACAGCCAATGAAATATTGTCTTTTCAGACAGTGCTGTAGTTAGAAATGGTAATCCTCAGTAGGTAAAGCAGGTAGGCCTGAGTTCAGATCACCATCGCCCATGTACAAGCTAATGCAATGGCATGCATCTGTAACGCCAGCAGTAGGGAGGTGGAGACAGGAGGATTCCTACCGCTCACTCACAGTTTAGATCACACAGGAGCTCCAGGTTCAGCGGCGGACCTTGTCCAAGAAAATAAGGTTGGTGTGGGAGAGAGGACTCTGTAGGCAAAGGTTCTTGCTACAAGTCTGACAACCTGGGCTCAATCTTTTAAACCTGCATGGAGGAAGGAGAGCACTGACTCCTGCAAGTTGACCTCTGACCTCCACCAGTGAGCCATGGCAGTTGCACACACGCACACACACACACACACACACACACACACACACACCATACACAATAAAAATAATAAATAACAACACATAAATCACACAGAATAATAATTTAAAAATAAAATACAAATGAAACCATCACGTCCATAAGAACAAAAGGCTATTGCATGTTTGCATGAAGCAAACTGCTTTCTGCCTCAGATATCAAACAGAAATAGTATCTTATGTCAAGATTCGGGTGACAGGAAAAAATCCAGAAGTATGCAGTGCAGATCAATAGATACAGAGTGACTTCATGCTTTTGAATTTTAAATCAATGACTGCGTAGGCTCTAGAGCACAATGGCAACTTCCTGTTGTACATGTGGTTCATACATGTTTGTGTGTGAGGGTATGTGCATGTGGAGGGCTGAGCTCAGCACTGGGTCTTCCTTTGTCTCGTTGCGTCTCATTTTTTTGAGTCAGGGTTTCTTACTGAACTTTGAGGCCACCAGTCAGGTAAAGCTAGCTAGTCAGGGAGCCCCAGGGAGCCTCCTGTGCTTGCTTCTCAAGTACTAGGATTATCGATGCATGTCACATTAAAAATATTTTAAAATATTTTTGTTTGTTTGGTTTTTTGTTTTGTTTTTTGAGACAGGGTTTCTCTGTGGCTTTGGAGCCTGTCCTGGCACTAGCTCTTGTAGACCAGGCTGGTCTCAAACTCACAGAGATCCGCCTGCCTCTGCCTCCCGAGTGTTGGGATTAAAGGCATGCGCCACCACCGCCCGGCTTAAAAATATTTTTGAACATTTCATTATTTCTGTGTTTATGGGTGTTTTGTCTGCATGTATGTCTGGGAAACACATGCATGCAGTACCAACATTTCACTATTTTTGTGTTTATGGGTGTTTTGTCTGCATGTATGTCTGGGCAACAAATGCATGCAGTACCCAGGAAGACCAGAAGAGGCATCAGATCCTTCTGAATTGGAGTTAAAGACAGTTGTGGGCTGCCATTTGGATGTTGGGAATTGAACTCTGGTCATGAAAATCTGACAACAGGAAAAGGTTTCTGAATGTACTACCAAAAATGAATTCAAAATCAAATGCATAATGAATCCAACATATTTCTGGCATAACTCTCCTGGGTTGTATCAGATAACTCCACTGTCTTGGTTCTTTGCCCTTTAAGGTTTCTTGGTTTGTTTTAAAATTATGTGTATTTATGTGTGTGTGTGTGTGGGGGGCTATGTGCATGTGAGCACAGGTGCCCTCAGAAGAGGATCCTCAGAATCTGGAGATAGAGGTGGCTATGAGCCACTTGACACGTGTGTTGGGAACTGAACTCGGGAACCTTTGCTCCAGCTCCATCTTGGTTTTTAACACTCAACCTGTACACTTTGTACCGTGTATGCCATCATGCCATGCAATGCTACTTGAAACACCTCAGCTCAGATATGACTATTACATTATACGAATTGTAGGGTTTTCACTGTACAGTTTCCTACTTTTATAAAACTATGATTTAATTACAGAAAAAGGCAATATTTTCCTATTGTCATTCCTCAGTGTGTATATCTTTGTATGAATTGTGTTAGAATGTTTACAATTTTTAATTTTGTGTGTGCATGAGAGTCATGATGATCACAAAGCAGGCACTCAACTGCTGAGCCAGCTCTAAAGCCCAAGACCTAATTTTATATGGATATAAACAAGCAGGCTAGCAAGATGACGTCACAGGAAAAGGCATTTGCCCAAAAGCCTGAAGACCTGAGTTCAACTCCCCGAATCCACAGGATGAAAGAGAATTGATTTCTGCAAGCTGTCTTCTGACCTCCATAAATAAAATGGGAAAAACTGAAGCACTAAGAGCATTTGCTGCTCTTGTAGAGGATCTGAGTTCAGGCCCCAGCATTTATGTTGGATGGCTCACAGCCACTTGTAACTTCAACTCTAGGGCATCCAACACTGCCTTTGGCCTCCATGAGTGTATATATATATATATATTCACACATAAATAAATCTTAAAAACACAAAATTGCTTTATTTAACAAATGGTAATTTAACTGTATCCCAAAATTGTTTTGAAATAAAGTACTATTTACAATCAGTAAATATTTGTTGTGCACACCTATTTTATATACTAAAACCTGAGTCATGCAAAAAATTTCTTGGGCAGAAAGGGGTGGAGTGGCAAACGTGCAAGTAGCCCTGTTGTAAAGATTCATGGCTGGGTGGCGCTCATCCCCACGGGGGTCAGAGGGGAGAGGGTGAGCTGCAGTGCTGAGAGCAAAGCTCCAAAGCCACTCTGATGCTGATCTCATTCATTGTGCGCTACTGTGTTAGCCAAGCAAGACATAAAGAAATCCTGGGGAGCAAAGAAGTCTGGTCCACCAACTTGCCCAAGCACCCGATGCCTATCAGCTGCCCTCCACCTCCATTCTCAACTTGAACAGGCAATTACTTACCTTTGTCTTTTTTTTTTTTTGGTCCTCTACTAGTGAAATTCAAACTACAGCTAAAACTAACTTGCTTCTTATAGTGATATCCCGACCCCCATTCTTACAAAATCGCCGTATTATTGCACAAGTACACTGCAAACCGGCTTTTTCTCTGGGCATGGGTCCCAGCACCACTCCCCCCAGCTGCAGGATCCCCTGCATTCATCAATCAAGCACCGGCTTAAGTCTTGGAAGACTAAGGAAGGAACTCGTCCAAGACTTTAAGTTGTTGCTGCACACACAGGACTACCTTAGGGTGCTCACCCACTTGTTCTGGTCAGGCCTGCAGATTGAAGGAAAACCTTGCGTCCTGAGAGCTAGGTGGTTTCCAAGCAACTGCCATAAGCACCGCCTCCTGAGGTCTTAAAGGGGCCGCGACACAAATACAAAGCTGTAGAGCAGTTTTACCATGCTTAGTCTCAAGAGGAACTGGGCACTTGAGCTGGATATACTTGGCCTGGATTTCTCCAGTTCTAACTGCAAAGCGTATGACCCCTCTTAACAGGTTTCCTCATAATAAAACAGAATAATGCAGGCTTTTGTTTTCCACCACTGCCTTAACCCAAACAATGGTTTGAAGTCACACAATCTTAACAGCTGTAAGTTGCAGGTCTGGCTTGGAGGCCTCCAGGGAGTCTGCATACTTGTGCTCCACACTGAAGAACTTATGTGACAGAGCCCACCATACCACAGAAGACAATCTCCCCATCACTAGGATCTGTAATCCCTTCTGGAGTCCCCCTTGTCCTGTATGAGGTGAAGCACAGGTTCTGGTGACCAGAAACAGACATTGTTGAGGGCCATTACTGTACCTCCTACAACTCCCAACTTGCACTGGTCCAAACCTTAAATGAGACCTTGCAGACCTGCAGCAGCAGTCTGTTTGGAGACGTAGCCCTGGCTGGCCTGGAACCATGTATCAGCTCAGGCTGACCTTAAACTTAGAGATCAGCCTGCCTCTGCTTTGCTACCTCGCCCAGCAACAGAAGGTGAAGAGCTGTGCCTCCACCACCTCACTGCACCTGAGCCAAGGCAAACCTCTTTTCCAGGAGGCCCACACCTGTCATCACCGTGCGCTAACTACCAGCTAGGCTCTAACGAGGCGTTTTTATTTTTATTTGTAGCACAGCCCAAGTGGCCGAGATTCCAAGGAAACAAAAAAACCCCATAGTTCACACCCCAAGGAAATCAAATTATAGCACTGAACTATAGAAACTCAGATGTTTTTATTTCACTCCCTGCCCCAGCCTCTACTTTCCACTCTCCTTGCACTAAGGAACATTTAAAAATAGTGATCCCAGTAAGGGTGATGGTGCATGTCTTTAATCCCAGAACTCAAGAGGCAGAGGCAGGAGAATCTCTGTAAGTTCAAGGCTAGCCTGCTCTATATAGCAAGGTCCAGGTCAGCCAAGGCTCATTCCTTCCCATTCCCACCCTGCAAAAGTGACCCCAGTACTATTCAGTATTCTTTCCAACCAGGTAAAGAATCCGCCCCCCCTTTCTTCATTTAATATGAGTCAGGATTGAGAACTACTAATTTTAAAAGACCATAATTTTTTATTTGGGTGTGTGACACACATGTAATCCTAGCACTTCGGAGGTGGAGGCAAGATCAGTTTAAGGGCAGCCTTGGCTACAAAACAAGTTTAAGACAAGTCTGAGTTTCATAAAACTGTCTCAAAACACAGGGGGTAGGAGTGGGAGAGAACAAGAAAGTAAACAACATGAATTCAACTGTCATCGAGGGCTGAAAGCCGCAGACTATAATACCCCCAGTCAGGAGAAAGATTGCCAACTTCCAAAGGGCTCTCTGTTGTGGAGTATTATCTTAAGATGTATTACATTTGTTTATACTGTGGAGCATTTGCTTTAATGATGCAAAGATGTGCTGCATTCTTTTATGTTACGTTTGTTTAACTCTGTGAAGCTGTGATTCTTTGTCTAAAATACCTGATGGGCTAATGAAGCGCTGAAAAGCCAAGAGCGAGGCAGGAGAAAGGATAGGTGGGGCTGGCAGGCAAAGAGAATAAGTAGGAGAAATCTGGGAGGAGAGGAAGAAGGAGCAAGATAGAACAAGGAGAGGAGGACATCAGGGTCCAGCCACCCAGCCAGCCACAGAGTTAATAGTGAAAGTAAGATATACAGAAGAAAAGGAAAAAGCCCAGAGGCAAAATGTAGTTGGGGATAATTTAAGAAAAGCTGGCAAGAAACAAACCAAGCTAAAGCCGGGCTTTTATAAATAACAATAAGACAACGTGTGTGATTTATTTGGGAGCTGGGTGACGGCCCCCCCAAAAGAATAAAACAACCAACAACATTTTGGCATTCCAACGTAGGGCTAGAATAAAAAAAAATTAACAACAGCTCTCCTTGTTTTCTAAGGCATATTTTTGCACACCACTTCTAAACACACACATACCACACACATACACCACACACATACACATACACCACATGCATACTTAAATTTCAAGGCAATAACAGTAGACATGATGAAAAGGCTTCATTTTCTTTTCTCTTTGGAATGGAGTCTGATTAATGTAGCTCAGGGTGGTCTCAAACCCCTGGCCTCAAGTGAGCCTCCCACTTGGGTCTCCCAAGTAGCTGGGCTAGCGGCACACATGCCACTATGCCTGGCTTAACACTGTTTTCAAGTGGATCCGAAGCATTAAAATAGCAGAGAATAATCTGCAGTGAACTCTACCCTACAAGCATCAGTTCTGGGAAATGATGTCCAGATTTGCAATGTGCCTCATGGTTGGCCTTCCATGGGGACAGTTCCAGGGGTGGTCCATCTCACCCATGTGAGTGATGAGCTTCTTCATCTCGCTTATGTTGAGAGCGGTTCCAATCATCACCTGAGTACGAGACAACAGTGGAGTTTAACTAGACTTTATCACAACAGTCTTCAGAAGCACAGCGCTAGGATGAGACCAGACAAAATCACAGCTTAAAACATTTCCTGAAGAATCTTCCCCCAGAGTCCCTTTTCACGGTGCTCCACATTTCTGTTGAGCTTCCAGCCTTCATGGCTCAGGTTTGACCTCTCAAGAAGTGGATCAGCACCCCCTTCTCTCAACAGTTCCACATGACTTTACTTTTCTCCTCTCACACTGGCAACCAGAGTGGTCCAGAGTGCCTCTCTCCACTCAGCAGGGAGCAAGGAATTTTATTACTTGTTTATTTTACTTTTTGATGCGCATGTGTATGCAAGTGTTCGTGTGTGTGTGTGTGTGTGTGTGCGCGCGCGCACACTGCATGTGAGCATATATGTGTGCACGCATGTGCATGCTTGCTCCTATCTGAGTGCATGGAGGCCAAAAGTATACACTAATGTCTATCATGATCTACCTTAGTTTTTGAGACAGGATTCTGTCATCAAACCCTTATCTCATTATTTTGGCTAGACTAGCCAGCTAGGGAGCCCCCGGGATTCATAGGTGTCTCCACTTCCCCAGAGCAGGGATTACAAATATGCACCACAACTTGCTTTTTAATTTGAATGCTGGAGATTTGTATTCAGGTCCTCATGCTTGTACAGAAAGTACTTTACGTGCAGAGCCATCATCCCAATCCCTAATTTTTTACTTTCCCTTGAAGACAGGGTCTCACTAGAGTTAACCCTGGCTGGCCTGGAACTCACTATGGACCAGGCCAGCCTTTGCAATGAACCTCTTGCCTCTGCCTCCTGAGTCCAGGGTTACAGATTTGAGTCACCATGCCAGAACAACAGGTCTTCTAAAAAGTCTGTCAGGTCACACTACTCCTTCCAGCTCTTCCTTCACCCAAGTAAAAGCCTAGGTCCTTGCTCAATGTGCCAGCATATCTGTGGTGGTTTGGATGAGAATGGCTCTTGTAGGCTCTTATGTTTGAAGGGTTGGTTCCCAGTTGGTGTTCAGGAAGGACTAGGAGGTGTGGTGTTATTGGAGGTGTGTCTCTGGAGGTGGGCTTTGAGTTTTCCCCATGCCAGGTCCAGTCTCTCCTCTTTCCTCTCTCCCTACCTTCTCTCTGTGGCCTATAGATCTGTATGTAAGCTGTTAGCTACTGCTCCAATGCCATTTTCCCACCATGATGATCATAGACTCATCCTCTCAAACTGCAAACAAGCCCCCTGTAGAGAGCAGCGTGGAGCCACATCTGATAATCAGTTCCTAATTATGGCTAAGACCTGACTTATGCTGTGATCACGCAATGATTGTCAGCTGCTTGCATATGCGTGAACCTATGGGCAGTGCCCACCTGGCAATCCGGGGTTGGCAGCCTGTGCCTTTTTAAGGGCTGGGAGAGGTTTGCCCACAGAGAGAGAGGAGGAGAGAGAGGGAAAAGGAGAGAGAGAGAGAGGGGAAGAGAAAAAAAGAGAAAAAAGGTCCTGAATAAACTGCTAGCAAGAAGAGCTCCGGGTGTTGCGTCTTCCTTGCGGGACGAGGCTGGACGTGACAGCCCCCAATTAAATACTTTCTCTTACAAGTTGGCTTGACCATTGTGTCTCGTCACAGCAATACAATAATAACTAAGGTAACATCCTTGTTTGCAACCATCTTCTCTGCCACACTGGCACACCATCTCCGTGTGCACATGCACAAACCAAGTTTCAGAATCAGAGAACTAGCTGTCCCTGTGCTTGGGACTTGCTTTCCCCGTATCTTTATCGCAAGTGCTCCCTCCTTCAGGCTCCTGCTCAAATGCCCTGCGTACTCTCAGTGAAACAGCACGCTCTCTAGAGCATGAAGAGCTTGGTGACATGTATGTGACAAGTAGATGCTATAGCATACCCGATATTCTGAGATTCTGAGAAATAGGTAGAGATGGGGATGCAGAGAGGCCTAAACCCCTCTGTTGTTATCTTTCTTCTGATTGTAGCACATGAAGTGTCCACTAGGTGTCAGCATAGTCCTACAGCTAGGGACAGAGCACTGCTTGGGGAGGGGGCAGAAAGACAATAAGCAAGTTAGCAAATGTCATTTATGAGGTGATTGCAGACTGGAGGGAGCCAGGCAAAGAGCAGTGAGGGTGGATCCAGGTGGGGAATGGCAGGTAGAAAGAGTCTGAGGTGACAGGAGAGGATGAGTGCAACCGTTTGGCTGTGGCTGGAGCAAAGTGAAGGAAAAAGGGCTGGAAAGACAAGTAGGGACGGGAATATATTACATGAACAGCAGGAGACAGAAGATCCCATGAAGGTCAGTCAGTGCTAGAGACAGGGGAGCTATAACAGTGTGTCTGCACTCTATGGCTCCACAGGCCTCCACATCACAGGTACACAGAAGGGTAAAGAGGTCGGCATGACTTGTGGCACACCTGCTCTGACACTTTCACTACAAGATAGGATTGTTTTCATCAACCAAGGATTTGTGACTAGAAATCAGAGCCAACAAGATCCTGAGCACTCGCTTGTGCTGTGTTTGTGTGAGTCTATGAGTGTGTGTGTGTGTACACATGTGCGTGCTTCTGCTTACATACTAGGCAAGTGCTCTACAACTAAAGCCACACCAGCAGTCCACAAACAAAACTTTTCTGAGGGCTGGCTAAATGGCTCAGAGGGTAAAGGGCTTGCTGCACAAGCCTGTCAACCTGAGTTTGACCCTTAGAACTCACATAAAGGAAGAACTAACTCTCCATAATATTGTCCTCTGACCCCCATAGAAGCTCTAAGGCATGTACACACTCCTCCTCCCAGTTCTACACTATAACAAAACAAAACTTGTCTTTGGAGTGATTTCACACTGTCCTAGTCAGGGGGGTTATCGCTGATGTAATGAAGCACCATGATCAAAAGCAACTTGGGGAGGAAAGGGTTTATTTCACTCACAGTTCCATATAAAACATCATCAGAAGCAGTGAGGGCAGGAAATCAAACAAGGCAGGAACCGGGAGGCAGGAGCTGATGCATAGGCCACGGAGTGGTGTTGCTTACTGGCTTGCTCATCATGGCCTGCTCAGCCTGCTTTCTTATAAACCCAGGACCACTAGCCCAGGGATAGCACCACCCCTAATGGACTGGGCCCTCTCCCATCAATCACTAATTTGAAAAATGCCCACAGACTTGCCTACAGCCTGATATTATGGAGGCATTTTCTTAATTTCTCTCTCAGATGACTTTAGCTTGTCTCAAGCTGACATTAGAAGTCTAGCAAATAACTTCAGCCCAGACATCTCCTGAAGCCCTGTCACGTGCTGCTTTTCAACACTGTTCACTGAACAATGGGCCTCACATACAGCAAGTCTACAGCATAGCTCCTAACCCTGTTAGCTCCCCACCCAGGTCTGCACTCTCTCACTATAAAGCAGTATGACTATGGGCTGTCCTCTAGGTGCTGTTCTGTTCTTCAGGTTTGTGTGGTCACTATTTTTTCTGTCAAGAGCATTCTTACCCATGGAGGCTTTATCTCACCCGTTAAGGGAGCTCAGATGGCACCCATCTCCTTGCCATCACGTTTTTCTGTGGCCACATGCTATTTGAGTTTCTGCACTTACTGGCATCAAAAGGGTCATTTTTTTGTTTATGTCTATTTCTCTAATCCACCTTACTTCTGTATTCCCATACATGGAACGAACAGAACAGGTTATACTACATGGGAGAGGAGCTTATTTTACTTACAGACTTCCGACAGGCTCGGGAAGCAAACATCTGCCTGACTCTTGAGGGCCGGCACATGACCCCAGGGCTGTCACTTAGCATGAAGATCAGTTCATCTATATCTTGGGGTCCAAAGGTCCAGTTTTTACTAGTTGGCAAGGAAATCAATTTAGCCCTTTCAGTGACTGGAGCTAAAAGAAGAAAGAATCGAGGAAAATCCATTATTGGAGAAAAACATTTTAGTTTATGGCTATTTATAATGAAGACCCACGCACTCAAAGTAAGAGCTAGCATAAATACTTCCGAGTTAAACTATACAGTCCGACAGTCCTAATGGTTAACTTACCCTCCTCATCAATAATGAAATCAAAGCCATTCTTTCTGAATATTTCCAGATTTTCTATCAGCACAGCTTCATTGACAGCAGTTAAGTTCAGAGTCTGGGGCCTGAAATACAGGAGACTCAAACTATAATCCAAGGCAAACATTTACCTACAGAGCAGAAAGGAAATCAAAAAGCACTATTTTTGGTTTATAAGCTGCCCCTTAGAAAGGCCCACATGGACAAGACACGGTGCACAAACCTTTAATCCCAGCATTCAGGAGGCAGAGGCCAGTAGACTTTTGTGAGTCTGATGCCAGTCAAGGCTACATAGTGAGACTCTGTCTCAGTAAAACAAAAAGGCCCACACATATAAGGCTTCATAAGTGTGCACCACTCTATAGCAGACCAACTATGTTCAGTTACCCTTCACCAACAGGATTTTCTGGCCACTCAGTGAACACCATTTAATAAAGCTAAAAAGAGCTAAGACCTAGAGAAATTTGAGGTGTGAGAGCTCAGGCAAGTTGATTAACATCTCTGGGTGTGTGCCATCTTATTATGATGAGCTAGTGATGGCAGCTACAGCTCCCTTGTACATTTGCTTGGCTTAAATGAATAATTTGCTTCAACACAGTTTACAACATAATAGGTACTCAATAAATGGGAGCCATGACTATTACTATGTGAAAAGCATAAAAATGTGTTGCACAGATTATAGCAGAAACCCCACATTTATACATACACACATACAGATAATGGTATAAAGCTATTTCATCTCAAAGGGCGGGAGGGATGTGAGAAACAGCACTGAAAATCCCGAAGCCTCTGTGAACTCACGTGATGAGCCTTTGCATCTGGAGCACAGTGTGCTGCTGCAGCATCTCAAAGTTGTACTTCTCATCTGCAGCATGCTGGTCCACCAGGAAGAGGTCCTCCTTCAGTTTGGTTATTATAAATCCCAGGTTAAACTGACCCAGGATCTCCATCTCAGCAAACATCGATTTACTGCAATATAGAACATTATTTGAAGATTATTTCTGATTATAAAACAGAACAATTTAACTAAAAAAGTGCTACAAAAGCATAAAATAGAAAAGGTGACAACTGTACTTTCTTTATAAACATCACATTAATATCCATACGTTCAGAGTTCCAGAGATGGCCTTAGTGACATCTATTAATAATCTGACATGTGTGCCTCTACATCCTTGCTCGTACATGAATTTCATTTTTAAAAATGAAAACAGAACTATGCATCTTCATTCCACTCTACTGTTATCACTTAATACATCATAGGTTTCTACAATTTTTTTCCTCGAGATGGTTCTGACTGTATTGTCTAGGCTTTGGAACTCTCCTTCTTCAGCCTGCTAAGTAGCTGAAATTACAGGTGCATGCCAACAACCCCCAACTTTACATCTACATCTGTTACTCATCCTGACCGCAGCATCATAGTCCTCCTGCTTCACGGTCCTTCATTCTCAATGACTGTACTGGAGTTCAATATGTGTGTACTATAGCTCACCTTATAAATTCTCTCCTGAAAGATATTTAATTGTTTCTAATCTCATAATATGTACAAGGCGACAACAAAACCCAGGAGAAATGCTCATATGGTCCAGCTTTCAGAGCAAACCACAGTGAGGATAGTCACATGGCATCAACACTTGATCAACAAATGACTAGCAAGATGCCATGGGGAACAAAAAAGAAAAAAAAAACAATCAAGAAAGAAAATTTACAGCACACACCTGTAAACCCAGCAATTGGGAGGCAAAAGCAAGACAATCATGAGTTCAAGGTCATCTTTAGCTACACAGTGAGTTTTGGGCCAGCCTAGATTATATGAGACCCTGTCTCAAAACACAAAAAGCAGGAAAACTGACATTAAATATGTGAAAGGCAAGGAGAAATTAGTGAACAGAAAAATCTGTGGGGTCAAAATCAATCCCAAATTCAATATCAGAATTGGAGGAAGGGAGCAATGAGGAAGGAGGGAGGCAGAGAGAGAATGAAACACTGATCAATCTATGGGGGGCCTGTGATTGTGGAGAAGCCCATGTTGTTGGACTGTCTCCACAGGAATCTCAAGCCATAGGACAGATCCTGGTGCAAGAAAGGATGATATCGGGCTGGAGAGATGGCTCAGAGGTTAAGAGCAATGGCTGCTCTTCCAGAGGTCCTGAGTTCAATTCCCAGCACCCACATGGTGGCTCACAGCCATCTGTAATTCAATCTGGTTTCCTCTTCTGGCGTGCAGACAGAACACTGTATACATAATAAACAAATTAATTAAAAATAAATAAAATAGAATAATCAGTCTCCCCCCCCCCAAAAAAAAAGAGAAAAGGGCGATATCATCTACACAGTGCAAGGAACAAGACATCCAAGATACTGAGAGGAGCCAACACTGACTCTCTATAAAATCAGCCACCGGCTCAGTCAAAATAACCAACCACAAGCCTTACCAAAACATCATTAAGAACAAACAGTACCTAATCTCTTTTCTGAGTTCATCTTCTGCTGCTTGGTTTTCTCCAGGGCAAATCTTGGCTCTAAATTTCCTGTAGCTCTGCTCACTTTCATTCCGCTGCTTCTGTTGCTGTAACCGCCTCACCCTGTTAGCTAAAGAACTCATAGAAAAGTCAAGGGGCACTATTTTCTTATGAATCTTCACAGCCACATCAACCTGAGCTGCTGAGGTGTTCCGAGCATCAAGCAACTTTGGAGGAACGCCAGTATTTAAAGGTCTTTTTTCTGTCTTGACACGCTTAGCGTTTGAGGAAGAGAGAGGACTTGGTGGAGGCAGAACCGTACCTTCTTGCTTCAGATGGTGTCCTGTACCTGAAGGAGGGCAGTCCATGTTTTCCTGTGAAGATCTGTTTTCTGGAGAGCTCACTGCATAGTCACTGCTAAAGTTACTGGCCATTTCTGGGGTGCTAAGCCCGTCTTCAGAGCTGGCTGAGGTGTTGCTGAGCCCCGAGTCTTTTTCTAGTTTCACTCTGTCCATACAGTCTTCAGGGCTTTCCTTGGGGCTCACCACTTTGTCCTGGGAGCCACACAGACCTCTAGGAGAGATGAGATTCGAAGGACAAGAAGATGGTACACCCCTTTTCTGACTTGGATAATTTTGCCTCAGTTCAGGGGTCTCTGTGCCCCAAGGCTTGAGCTCTGTGTTGGGATGAAGAGAAAAGGCCTCTCTCAGTCTGGAGATGGATGCTGCCCTTTTCTCATGCGCTGTGATCGTCAATGAAGGTGAACTGTCTTGCTTTCCCGACACAGGCTTTTCTATTTCTGCTGTGCGCATCTTTACTAAGTTACCTAAACAGACGGGAACAAAGAAGAGTATCAGCGAGGGTACTCAAGAGGAACAAAGGATTATTCTTATATGAACAGGCATTTCACAAACAAAGAGGCCAAACTGCACACAAAATAATGCAACACTGGCTAGAACCCATCTTAAAGGGGATATAAAGAAACCTAAATGTATGCACATCTGTGACCCAGCTCCGCTCCTCCATCAGAAATGTCTACCCACGCTGAGCATGATACCCCACACCTATGATCCCTGCACTGAGGCAGCTCCGGTAAGAAGACATGGAATTCCAGCCTTTTGTGTGGGATATAGAGAGACTCTATCTCAGAGAAACAAAATCAGAAGATAGAGAGACGGTTCAATAGTTAGAGTGCTTGCTGACTTTCTAGAGGATTTGAATTCAGTTCCTAGCAACTGTGAGGGCATCTCACAACTATCTGTTAATTCTAGCTCTGAAGACTCTACTGGACTCTCTGCGTATCTGCACAAACATGGCATACACACATGCACACAGATAATTTTTTTTTAATCTTAAAAAAAATAAAAACCAACAGGAAGATGTCCGAGGACGCTCATGACAACTCCTTACCACAGCCCCACACTGGAAGCAATTTGAATACCCCCACACCCACAATAATTGTTAATATTTGACTTGAGTGGAATATTGTATATCAATGAAAATGAATGATTGAAAGAATGGCCACATATGACTTTGATGGACCCTATACAATAATCACAGGACAGAACAGACTAGATGACTTCCTGTCTCCCAGTCTCAGTTTGTCTCTCTTCCTTCCTCTCGATATGGAGCCATAGCTAAGATAGAATTTATTGTGTAGACCAGCAACTGTGAAGATCTTCTTGCTTCAGTTTCACAAATGCTGGGTTTACAGGCATGTGTCACTACACCTGGCCTTCATAAACTTAAAAAAAATGTTTGTGTGACAGTGTGTGCGTGCACATGCTATGAGTAAGGAGGTCAGAACAACCTCAAGTGACAATCCTCACCTTCTACCTTGAGACTTTCATTTATTCATTTATTGTTTGGTTTTTCAAGACAGGGTTTCCCTGTGTAACAATCCTGGTTGTCCTGGAACTACCTCTGGTAGACCAGGGTAGCCTCTAACTTAAGAGAGATCCACCTGCCTCTGCCTCCCGAGTGCTAGGATTAAAGGTGTGCACCACCACCGCATAGCTCAAGACTTTTAAGACTGGGCCTCACTATGTCTCCCTGGTTGGTGTGGAACTTGCTATGAAGACCAGGTTGGCCTTGAACCCACAGAGATCTGCCTGTCTCTTCCTCCTGAGTGCTGGGATTAAAATTGTGCGTCACCATTCACAGCCTCTAATTTTCTACTGTGACATTTTCTCTTACCAGAAAGATTCTACTTCATGTCAAAAGTCACCGTGAGGGAAAAAGAGTTGGTATCACAACAACTAAAACTTTCAGGTTACATCACTGTGCTTTCCTTACCTTCAATGTCCAGCAGCGGCTGCTGGCTGACAGTAAGCTTGGTTGCGTCGTTGTCGAACATTCCTATCAAGGAGGTCTTTAAAATCGCCAGCAAAAGCTTCTCCTCCTGTAGTAAAATCTGTCTTTTATCTGGAGTCACATTAATATCAACACATTCTAAAACAAAGAATAACACACATGCTTGAGCTCGCCTTTAGCAATAAGATTTTAGCCATTAACTATTTCATTCATTTGTACTATTAATTAAAACCAGTCAAGATTAAAATAATGGTGTCCAGATTAGTATTCATAAATTATAAAATTACTTCTTTGAGACTATGCATGTGTATGTGTGTGCGCACAAATATGTGGCTAGACATACATGTGTGTGTATGGAGGCCAGAGGTTGACATCAATTGCTTCTCCACCTTATTTTCAAGATAGGGAGGGGATCTGCCTGAACCTGTGGCTCACCAATTTGGCTATACTCCCCCAGATATCCTCCTGCAGCCTCCCAGCACTGGGATTACAGGCATGCGCTGCTGTTCTCAGCTCTTTACATGTGAACTGGGGAGCTGAACTATGGCCCTCACACTTGCCCATGAAGCACTTCACCTACTGAGCCATCTCCTCAGTCTATAAAGTTACCTTTTAAATAAATGAGGAAAATAATAATAACCTTATTTTTATTTTTAAAGTTTTATTAATATATCATCATCATGTTAAGACAGAGTCTCACGTAGCCCAGGCTAACCTTGAACCCACTATGTAGCTAAGGATTATGGGATAGCTATCCTGGAGTATGAAGTGCAGCAACAGAAACGAGAGACTACCTCAAGCTGAAGAGAAAGCTTAGAGGTTAAGAGCATGTACTCTTCCAGAACCCACATCAGGTGACTCGAAGACACCTGTAATTTGAGCTCCATCAAGACCTAACACCTCTGACCTCTGTAGGTAACTGCATCATGTGTGTGCACACGCAAGTGTAAACATGTGCCCATTGGGGCAGGAGAGGGTGCTAGATTTCCTGGAGCTGAAGTTACAGGCACCAATCTCCAGGGCTCCAGAAGGGCAGCAAGAGTTCCTACCTACCTTTTCCGTCCTACAAACTATGGTGGGTTTGTTTTTTTTTTGAGATACTTTTTAATGACACGGAAAATAAAATGTTCACATCTACAAATAAAAATTATTTCCTTTCACAAATGCTAATGTGTATGAGTGCATGTTTGCACATGTGAGCATGGACATGTCTATTTCAAGAAAGACTTATACATATACAAAAGTATCTAGAAAATGTGGATCTAAGTAAGTAAAAATTTGACAGTAAAAAAGAAAAAAATACATATGAAATTAATTTTTCAAAATCAAGGAGAACCTGTAAGTTTACTTATACTTTCTCCCTTTGTTCAAGTTTAAAGCTACATTTCCTAATAATACAATAACACTGTTTCAAACAGAATGCAGAATGGTCATTATAGAAAGTAAAATTTCAGGATTATCAGTTGTTTTCTATTTAGTCATATCAGAACTTTATAATTTCATTTTATTAGGAATAGTCCAAAATTTTTATTGAAACCTCAATAGAACTTACCCGAATCAACAGAAATGTTAAGAACAACACATGGATACTGATGTCGATTATACATGTGATAAACCTCATTTACAAGTTTAGAGACCTGTACAAGAAACAAAGAAGAGAAAAGAATAAATGTTCTAACAACATGCTCTTCTAACCTATCAGCAAAGCAACCTATTTGTATTAAGCTTTATTAAACTCGCACAGCATTAAAGCACTTTTTTCCCACAGAGGGTTTCATGTTGCCTACCTAAGGAGACCTCTGAACTCTGACCCTCCTGCCCTCACTGTAAGTGCTGGGATTATAGTCATACCCCACCACTCCCAGTTTAAAGCAGGGCTAGAGACAGAACCAGGGCTTTGTGCAGGCAGGCAAGCACTCTATAAACCGAGGTATAAACCCAACTCTCTATACAACTTTATTAATGTATGAATGGTATGCACTATAAAATTTAGCTAGACCTTAACATACAGACCCCCAAACAAGAGGCTGAGGTAGGAAGATGGAAAGTTCAAGACTAGCATGGGTTACAGAGTAAGTTCAATGTCAACAAGAAAAATTTAACGAGACCTTGTCTAGTTTCACAGAAAAAACAAAAAATGGAAAAAGAGGGGTGGGGAAATGGCTCAGTGACACAACTCCTGCCTGGAATTGTGAGGTTCAATATTCAGCACTGATAAAACAACAAAAAACTTTGCAATTTGATATCTTAAGACACGTGCAAGTATAGACATACACACACATGCACACCTGTGAAGGTATTCTACAATCAAAACAACAAATATGTGCGCTATTGGAAAAGTTTCCTCATCTTCAAAGGGATTTGTTTGTATAGGGGCTTGCTATGTAGCTCAAGCTGTTCTCAAACTCTTTATCTTCTTACCTCAACCTTCCCCATACTAGAATTTCAGGCAATAACAAACACATCTTGCTAAATGGCTCAGTAGGTAAAGAGACCAGATGAATAAACTCTGAGAACTGAATCTTTCCAATCCAAAGATGTTCTTCAGGAAATTTGTGCCAGGTTTGGTGGTGGACACTTAGAACGCCAGTATTTTAGAAGTTGAGGCAGGAAGACTGAGAGGTAGGTAGGTAGGTAGGTGAGACGGACAGAAGGCAAGCACGATTCAATGTGTGTAAAGCATGCTCAAATGTACTCAGGTGCACAGTTATGTGATATTATAATGATTATTAAATCACATAAATTAGAGACAAATCACACTAATTTTAAAATGTAGATATTGGGTCACACTCAAAAAGAATGCAATCAAATTTTAAGATGGCACTAGGAAACAAAACATCACCAAGGTCACTGCTGCCTGCTGCTGAGAATGCAAAGTCAGAGCCGAGTCATTAAAGCCTCATAAGGACATTGGATAATTGGTTCAGTCTAAGGCACAGCTAAACCTGGGCTCTTATTTTCCTGTAAAATTGACAAAAGGAAGAGAAAACACACAAACAAATGCATGTTGTCAGTCTGCAATAAGAAGTTTAGATAAATGTCTTAGAATGTCTACTTGCTTCCAGAAGTGATAGTAATTTTTTTCTTTCTGGTTTTTCAAGGCAGTGTTTCTCTGTGTAACAGATAGTTTTAACGGTAGTAACTATATTAATAAGTACTTTTATACACATATGAAATTTAAATAACTGTAGGTTTTCCTAAATTCGTAAGATAAGTTAATTTGAAAAAGTTATCAATCATTTTCATGTGTATGGATGTTTTGCCTGCATTATGTCTATGTATCGCATAAATAAATGCCTATTGTCTGAAGAGGCCAGAAGAGGGCACCAGATCCTTAGAGAGTGAAGAACAGACAGTTTTGAGCCGCTATGTAGGTTTGGCCAAATGAACCTAGGAATTGAACCCTGGCTGCTCTTAAGCACTGAGTCATTTCTCCAGTCCTCAAGTAAGATCATTTTAAAGGCATGTTTCTGAGTCAGCTCCAAGTTTCATGTAAACTGTCTGTATCAGCTAGTCATGACGGTTTAGGGAGACAGCTCAGTCAGTATAATGTTTGTCTTGCGTGCATGAAGCCCTGGGTTCTGCTATGGGACAATAGTCTGTACACTGTCAGTTGTATTTTAATAAAATGCTGATTGGCCAGTAGCCAGGCAGGAAGTATAGGCAGGGTGACCAGGCAGGAAGTAGAGGCAGGGCAACGAGAACAGAATTCTGGGAAGAGGAAAGATGCAGTCTGCAGTCATGACCCAGACACAGAGGAAATAAGATGAGAATCCCTCGCTGACAAAGGTACCAAGCCACATGGCTAACACAGACAAGAATAATGGGTTAATATAAGATGTAAGAATTAGTTAATAAGAAGCCTGAGCTAATAGGCCAACCAGCTTATAATTAATGTAGATCTCTGTGTATTTCTTTGGGACTGAACAACTGTGGGACCGGGTGGGACAGAAACCTCTGTCAACAGGGTTCAAATACTAGTACCACATAAACCAGACATGATGATCCAAACCTGTAATCCCAGCACCCAGAAGGTGGAGGCAGAGCATGTTCAAGGCCAGTCTGGCTACACAGTGAAGTTTGAGGCCATATAGGGTTACATGAGTCTCAAAACAAGTAAGCAAACAAGCAAACAATGAAAAATACCTTTGCTGGGTCACAAGGACGCTGATTGATGAAGAAAAACTGTCTGTCTGTTGAGCTCCTCCCACTACCATGTGTACAGTGTGAAATGAAGCCTGAAATGCTGTCAAGAGGAATACAGGAATGACAGTTCTGGCATGAAAAAGTTTCTAACAGCACAGGACACTTTCTTCTTCCTTTTTGAGGCAGAGTCTCATGATCTCATGATCCTCTTGCCTCAGTCCCGATCGCCAGGACTGCATGTATGCCATGGAGTCCTTATCACAGGGCACAGAGCAGCTGGTGGTGACTCCACATGATAACCAGCCATACATCCTGTCCTTGTAAAAATCATCCTCAGGGCAAGGAGGATAGCTCGGTTGGTAAAGTACTTGCTGTAAGCACTTAGACCTGATTAGATACCAGAATCCACATTTAAAAATAAAATCCAAGCATTGTGGTACACACTTGGAAATTCCAGTGCAGGGGAAGTAGAGACAGGCATATATCTGGAGCTCACTGGCCAGTCACCCTAGCCTACTTGAGGAATTCCAGGCCACCGAGAGAGCTCCTATCTCAAAAACTAGGTGGGTGGATGGTACATGAACAATGACTAGAGTTGGATCTTTGTCCTCCACATGAACTTTTATGTAAGCACTTAAGGCGTTGGTAAGTTTCTTGTTCAGCATGAGTCCCATCCCAGGATTGTGAACACCTTTACATATAGGCATGTCCATCTGTGCTAGGGAGTTTTTCTCAATTTGACACAAATTCGTATCACTTGAAAAGAGGGAATCTCAGTTGAGAACCTGCTTCCATCAGATTGGCCTGTGGGCAAGTCTGTGGGGCACTTCTTGATTGACATGGGAGGGCTCAGCCCACTACGGTTAATGCCACTCCAGGCAGGTAGGTCTGGGTTGTAAAGACTGAGCCTTGGGAAGCCAGCCAGTAAGCAGCATTCCTCTGTGGTCTCCACTTCAGTTCCTGCCTTGGCATCCCTGGATAACCGTAAGCTGTAAGGAGAAACAGGTCCTTTCCTCTCCAGGCTGCTTTTGGCCAGGCTGTTTATCACAGCAACAGAAAGCAAACTAGAACACCATCTAGCAATTTCATGATAAGCCAAAAAAACAAGTGTAGAAATAAACAATACAGATCTTCATGGGGCAATCCTCCTTACAGAAGTTCTATATTTCATACACTAAACACAACATAGCTGGGCAACTTTAATAGATCCCAAAGGTCAAACACTAGACATAGAATAATTAAGAAACTATTTTAACTAAAGTAGAGTAATTTAACAGAAAACCCTCTTAAAGGTCCCAGTCACCCAGCTGCTGTTTGAATTAAGTTAAGCCACTGTCTGTCTGTCTTTTTTATGCATTCTTCTTAGCAGCACACAATCACTTTACACCTTACAATCACTATTCAAACACACAAACACAAACATCATGACCTCAGGGAAACTGGCTGTAGTTTTCCTGACAGCAATCAGTGTACTCACCAGAAAAGATTACATGGCTTGTTAGAAGAGCTCAGGCCGTACTCTTCACAAACAGAGTCACTAGGGGGCAGCTGAACAAAAGGAATGAGGCTCTGCAACTGAAAGAGACAAGAGTAAGGGTATTTCCTAAGACAGAGGCACCAAACTTCAGGGAAAATAGAGGATATTTTCTTCCCAGGTCAAGCCATGCCTCATTAAGAGCACAAAATAACAACAACAAAACCCCAAAGCAAAACAAACAAAAGAAACAATGAATGTTGACAGCTACTTTGTAGTGCTGTAATGACAACAATTTGTTTACCAGAAAAAGAAATCACCTGAGCTCCTATTTTATGACATTATGTTTTTCAGAAAGAGAGACAAGGCATATTAAAGGATTCAGTATTTCATTCTCTAAGAATAAAATTTAAGCCAGGCACTCGCAGCACTCGGGAGGCAAAGGCAGGCAGATCTCTATGGGTTCAAGACCAGCCTGGTCTATAGGTTCCAAAGCTACAAAGAAACCCTGTCCTGAAAAACCAAAAAAAGGAAAAAGAATAAAATTTAAAAAATCTCCAGCTCCCAGACATTAACTTTAGCTATGGGGTACTGAAATATCTTGCTTTGAGTTTTAGTCTCTGTGAATGACAATAAAACCTGCTGCAATCACTAGAGCAAAAGAACATTTCTCAGGGGCTCAGGGGTTAAGAGCACAGCAGTCCTGGGTTCAGTTCCCAGCACCCATGTCAGGTGGCTCACAACCACCTGTAACTCCAGCTCCAGGAGGATTCTATACCTCTGGCAGGCACCAGCAGTGTGCACACCCACTCCCTACACACATAGACATAATTAAAGCAATAAATCTAAAAACCAAAACATTTTTCAGCAGCTGGCCAGCCCCTACCTGCTTCTGGCCAAACACAGAGCTGATATTTTCCTTCATGCTGGAACTTCCGCTTGTGCACACCACAGGCTGCCGTTTTCCTTGTCCAAGCTGGTTAGTGCAACTTACACGGACGCCTGTTGAAATGATACAGTATGCCTGTAAGACCTGGATCATTTTGGCATACTCCTGTTTGAGAAACACAAATACAAGATTACTTTGATCCTACAGGAATTGCATGGTATTCTTAAAAACATACAACTCAAGGTTCTACATAGCCTTGAAAACAAAACAAGGGGAAGAATCCTCCCCACCTATGCTGTGAAATGAAACAGAGGCCGCTAGCCATTGGCCTCTCATTTGTGTTGGTGAATCACCATCAAGAAGTACATTCTAGGGGCTGGGGAGCTAACTCGGTAAATTGCTTTCTAGGCAAGCATGTGTACAATCCCAAACTCATGTAAAACAGCTCGGTGTGGTGGCACACAACTGTAATTGCAGCACTGGCAAGGGGGGAAGGGAGGATCTCTGGCCAGCAAGTCTAGTAAAACTTGTGAGCTCCAGGGCTAGGAAGACTTAGACTACAAACATGAGCTAGAACGTGACAGAAGACACAAGATGCTGACCTCTGGCCTCCACATGTATATAAACACATACATACAAAACACATTTCTAAGCCAGGTATGGTGGGTGCATGAGTATAATCTTAAAAATTCATGAGGGTTAAGTAGGAAGAGCATGTGGTCCAGGCCAACCTTGACAATGAAGTAGAACCTTCTCTCAGAAACTAAAACAAGTGCATGCCCTCTGAACTTAGAATGCTTCACTTAGAAATTTATTCTTGCTTTTTAAGACATGCATTCCCTATGTAATTCAAGATAGCCTTCAATTTTCTCCACATCTCTTGAATCATGTGCCACCATCCTGGTTCCTTTGTTTAACTTGTTTTATAAGAAATTTTATTCTTTTATAAAGGCTAGCATAAACAAAGACATATTAAAAAAATTATTCACTAGTTGGGCATACTAGCTATCATGGATACTAATGACTTCTGTTCTGTAAGGTCTCTGTCGACTTGACACAGTCTAGAAGCATTTGGGAAGAGGCAACTCCAACTGAGAAAATGCCCCCAGCATACTGGCCTGTGGGAGCATTTTCTTGGTTAATAATTGATGTGTGAGGGCCCATCTCCCTGGGGATGGTGCCACCTCTGGGCAGGTGGCGCTGGATGGTATGAGAAAGCAGGCTGATCGAGCTATGGGGACCAAGCCAGGAAGCAGTATTCCTCCATGGTCTTTGCTTTAGTTTCTGCTTTCAGGTTCCTTGAGTTTCTGAGCTGACTTCCCTTCATAATGGACTTAATCAGGGCATATAAGCTGAAATAAACCCTTTCCTCCCCAAGTTGCTTTTGATCATAGTGTTCTATCTCAGCAATAGAAAGCTTAACTAAGACAGTGGCCCACATCTGTAATCCTAGCCTTTAGGAAGCTGAGTCAGGGGATCATCTTGTGTTTGAGGCCAGTCTGGGCTATAGAGTGAGTTTAAGGTAAGCCTATACTGTTTCAAACTTGAAAAAAACAAAAAACTAAAACTAAACCAAAAAGAGGTTAACTAAATATAAAGTAAAAAAAAAAAGTGTTTGTTGAAATAACAAGTAACTTTAAAGACTTAGAAACAGGGCTGAAGAGTTGGCTCAGTTAAGAGCACTTGTTGAGACCTATATGGCTTCTCACAATCTTTTATAACTTCAGTCCCAGGAGACCTAATGCTTCCTTCTGACCTCAGAGGGCATCAGCCATATATGTGGTGCACAGACATATATGCAGGTAAAATATTCATACACATAAAATAAAAAAAACTAAAGCAAATAAACAAACCCTTGGGAACAATTTAAGCAATCATTAGCAAGGAGCTAATTAAGTATATTTATATCATGGAAGAACGATGAAAAGGTAGTATAAAGTTACCAATGGAAAAAAAAAGATAATTACAATATGTGAAAAGTAGTTATACAACAGTGTACATGGCATGATCCTAAATGTTTCAATAAACCATAGCTGGGCATGATGGCACACACCTGTAATCCGCCACTCAGGAGACGGAGGTAGGAATTGACAAGTAAGGGCCAGAACATACACATTGAGACCAGTCTCAAAAAAAAAAAAAAATTATTTTTTTTTTACATTTTTAAATTAAAGAAAGAAAATCAACTGAAAAACATCTTCAATTAATTTCTTACTCATATACTACATTAGAAAAACTCCTGAAGGCTGGGATTGTGAATTTACCAATACCTTTTTAATATTCCTTTGAAATTCTTTGTGACGCACTGGTAGTGTATAAAATAAGTGCTGCACGCTGACTGTTGTGCCTTTGGGTCGGGGGTAGGGAATTCTCTGGGTGATTTTCCCATTGTGGTCCAACACCAGTCGGGTGCCAATGCTTGCAGACACGTGGCAGGTAGATATAGTGACATCACTGAAAGAGAATGCCAGGGACGGCATGTCCAGTTAGAGATGAAGCTCGGAGCAGAACACTTGCCTAGCACTTGTTTTGAACTCGGAGTTCAGTCCCTAGCACTGCAAGGGGCCTGCGTGTGGAGAAACCTAAGGAACTCACGAGGGTTAGATATGGAAAACCTTCTCCCACTTTCCTTTCTCTCAGAACTTTCTTTTTTTTTTTTTTTTTTTTTTTTTTTGAGATAGGGTTTCTTTGTAGCTTTGGAGCCTGTCCTGGCACTAGCTCTTGTAGACCAGGCTGGCTTCGAACTCACAGAGATCCGCCTGCCTCTGCCTCCCTAGTGAAGGGATTAAAGGTGTGCGCCACCACCGCCTGGCCTCTCAGAACTTTCTTGAGCAGGTGATTCTTCCGAGACAATTTACGATTTCAATAAGTAAGGCCATCTACCGTATCATCTAAAGTTGGGGCCCCAAAGGATGGTGAGACAGTTTTATAAACACTTTGTTCTTGTGAATGATCTCAGTTTTTAGGCTGAGTTGCAAAACAACGAAGTATCTCCAGTTCTACTCCCAAAACTTTCTTTCTCAATTTAGTTACTAACAAAACTTTCACAAAGAATCCAAAAGACATAATTCAAATACATAATTATAAAAATTTATAACTTCACTGTAATTAAGTAGGGCTTTCATTAGATCTTTTCCTAAAAACTGAAAAACTAGCTGGGCGGTGGTGGCGCACGCCTTTAATCCCAGCACTTGGGAGGCAGAGGCAGGCGGATCTCGGTGAGTTCGAAACCAGCCTGGTTTACAAGAGCTAGTTCCAGGACAGGCTCCAAAACCACAGAGAAACCCTGTCTCAAAAAAAACAAAACAAAACAAAACAAAAAAAAACAACTGAAAAACTAAAACTAATGGTACTCACAATTTGTCATCTTTCATTATTTTTTTTATTTTTGCAGTGCTTCTGATTGACCCTAGGCAGCAAGATTCATAGGTAAGTAGGCTGCTGCTAAGTCACACCCCCAGCCTCTGTGGTACTTTAATAACTGTTTTAAGACAGGCAGTGGCTTTTTTTTTTTAACAATACTATTTTCTTTATTTAATTCCTTTATTTCTTACATTTCAGAAATAATATTACTTAGATTGGTAGTCAGATAAAACAGCATTCAGAAGTTAGGGTCAAGATAACTTGATATTCCAATAGTAAAGTGAAAACCACAATGATTCTAACCATGCTTATAAATTTTCAGAAGCTTTTACATAGAGCATCAAATTGATGAGTATAATAAACATCACCTCAGTGCACAGAGTGAGCTCAGAGCTTCCCCCCGAAAGCCAAAAGTTTCAACATGAATCAGGTCAGCAAATTCTTGGATCTTAGAAGTGTGATGTTTCAGAGCTGAAAGAGAATGGAAAGGAAGACTAAAAATGTCTTAAGTGATAGACCAAAGGACATATACAATATGTGGTTTAAAACAGTGTTACTCAAACTTCTAAGATACACGGAAATGATTACTTTATTATTTGGAACATTCATCTTACCTAGACCTTCAAAGTTTTCTTCTTCTACCCCACATCCATTGTCTGAAACTTCAATGAGGTCCACCCCATAGTCTTTAAGCCTTAGATCTAAAAAAGTCAACATATTTACTTCTCAATAATTAATCAATGCTAAAAGCTTTTATGTTGACAATATTCATAACACAGAATGCAAACTTAGCAATTATGTCTACACTTTTACTTAAAAATATTGCTATCATTCTGAGGGATGTATGTACATGTATGTATGTAGCACTGAGGATCAAGCCTAGGAAGCTATAAATGCTAGGCAAGCACTCTACAATGGAGCCACAACCCTAGCTATGCATGCTTGCTTTATTTATTTATTGATTGATTGATTGTTTTTTTTTTTTGTTTTTGTTTTTGTTTTTTTTAGTTTTTCGAGACAGGGTTTCTCTGTAGCTTTGGAGCCTGTCCTGGCACTACCTCTTGTAGACCAGGCTGGCCTCGAACTCACAGAGATCTGCCTGCCTCTGCCTCCCGAGTGCTGGTGGAGCCTGTCCTGGAACTAGCTCTTGTAGACCAGGTTAGCCTCGAACTCACAGAGATCCACCTGCCTCTGCCTCCCTAGTGCTGGGATTAAAAGCGTGTGCCACCACCGCCTGGCATGTTTTACTTTTGAAAGTCCTTCTGGATTATTTGTCATCCCAGATTAAATAGTTGGTTTATAGTATTATTTCAAAAGGAGTGCTTTTTAATATTGTCACGATGAATAGGCTCAGGTTGGAGGGATGGCTCAGCAAGGCTAGGCTCACAACCGAAAAAATATAACAGGCTCTGCAATCAGAGTTCCTAGATCATATTTTATGAGCTTTATAGCCTCAATAAAACCAAATTCCTGGCACTTCATTTTCCTCATCTCTATAAGAGAGATAGTAACTCCCAAATCATAATAGTCTATATACTAAATAAGACTATAAATCTTAGCACAATGCCTACACACAATGTAATTTAATTCTTATTCCATAGTTAAATATTAGACACGGAATTGTTGTATAACGGTTTTCTCTGGTTTGAAAGATTCCCTCCAGGATGGAGGAGGCACAAGAGATTCCAGAGGTCAATAAATGTCACAAGTCTGGGAAAGCTGAAACTCCAAGGCTGGCAGAGTTCCTAGGATGCAGACTTCAGGGATCACCCTCAAGCTGGGGCAGGTGTTTTGGAAATAAAAGCTGCTTTTGAATCATTCTGATCCTGTAAACAACCCCCCCCCCCCATATTTGTTAGGAACATCAATAAAAAACTCATTGACTCACCAAGTTGGAACGCCGCACACCTATTGCTTTGGTGTGCCAGAGTCCCCAACAATGGTGAGTGGACCTGTGTGTGTTGCATTCCCCCAGGAGAATTCTCTCACACAATAACTAGGTGCTACCTTCAAAATAACAATTACTGGTATGGCAGTTTTGATTGCTTTCTAATAGTCCAGGGATGTTTCTTAAAACTTTTTTAAACTTACCAATACTGGTAGCACCAGCATCCACGCTATTTTCTATCAACTCCTTCACAGCAGTGCTTAAACTGAGGACCACTTGCCCAGAGCAAATTTGATGGACTGACTTCCCATCAATGGGCTTGATAGCCTTAGCAAGTTCTGTACTGAAAAAAAGTCATACAAAACACAATGCAAATATTTAGACAAAGCAGATGAATTTATTTTTACTATGGTAAATGATTTATCTGTTACTGTTAGCCTAACCCATTCATTCACCTTCCTTCCTTCTCTTCCCTCCCCTCTCGTCCCTTTCTTTCTTTCTTTGAAACAGTGTTTCTCTGTGTAACAACCCTGGCTGTCCTGGAACTGGCTTTGTAGAGCATTTTGGCCTAGAACTCACAGAGTTCACCTGCTTCTTCTTCCTAAATGCTGGGATTAAATACATGTGCCACCACTGCCTGGCCGTCCCCATTCATTCTTTATATGAACACACTCATTACACTTGCAGATATGAATGTTCTACAATCTTTAAAAAATCTGCTAACCAATATTTAAAACTATCATGTTGAAATTCTAATAATACATGGATCTACCTGGAGGAGACATGATCTATCCCTTAAGTTATAGATCAATAAGCTTTTACAACGAAAATTTTCATTCTTGAAAAGCGACTTTTTTTTTCTCTTTATACAATTTGTAAAAAGTTACAGTTGCTTTTGGAAATTGAATCCAAATCCAAGCTGCCTTCACTGTTGCTAGGAAAGTCCTCAAAGCTCATGTTTGAGATAAAGGCTCTCTACATAGCCCAGACTGGCCTAAAATTCAAGCTCCTCATCTCGGCCTCCGGGATGATAGGATTCCGGACCTGTTCCAGGTTCTTACTGCTTGTTCTGACCTGCCTCCAGTTTATCCTTGTTACCACCCCTTTTGGTTTGCTTTCTTTTCTTTTCTTTTGACAGCCTCAAACTCCCTACATAGTCAAGTGTAACTATGAACTCCTGATCTTCCCATTTCTACCCCACCAGCGCTAGGATTACAGGTGTGGGCCAGTGTGCTTGGTTCCCATCAATTATTTTTGTAATCGCAAATCCAGCCAAACAATCTTTAAGCTTAAATTCTTAGTGGTGCCCATTGTCTATCATATGAAAGTCTAGTCATGCCTAGGTTCCAATTTACCACCATTAATTCTCTTATGGTTTAGTCACAGGAAAGAATGGCTACCTGGCTATAAAAAGCTCCAGTAAAGTATAATGGAACAGAGGTTCTTCCTTGAGGGGAGAGATCTTTGGGTATCTGTCAGATCTTAGGGCCTGACACATACTAGATTTCCAAAAACCCGGATGAAATAAACAATTCTTTTCATTCTACCTTGCTATCTCACTTGTTCAGCCTGGGGATGGAAGGTTTAATCACAGCACTGAGGTGTCTGAGGGAGGAGCCTGAGTTCAAAGCCCTACCTCACCAAAACAAAACAAAACATTTCACTTGTCTGTAACATCTAACTGCTGAGGATCTCACATGAAATTCAAACTACCTAAAATTCGTTTATTCTGCAACAGGTCTATTTCTGGAACTTAGAGTGTGGGGAAATGACAATATTTGTATTTTACAGACAGCAAATTTGCATCGACAAATCTGTCACTGAATGTAACTGTGCTGGTTTTCGAAGATATGCTTCACTGACTTTAAAGCCTAAAGAGAACAAGATATTAAATACACAGAAACACGGCAACTTAGTAAAATCTAAAAAAATAAAATAAACACTATTGACTACAAAATTAGCCTTTGTCTCACTCTCTAAGTCCTCAATTGTAAAAAGTCAAAAAAAGAAAAGAAAAACCGCCTAGAGCCGAATTCAGTCGACAAGAATGGATTTCCACGCTCGGTTTCAAGTCCGCGGCCTGTGGCTTTCAGCTTCCCGATAGCAGCAGGCCCAGCGCGAGCAGAACGCCGCTCAGGGTCCGCGAACTTGGCCCGCGCCTCAGCTACTTCCGGTCCTCTCACGGAGGCCGAATACCGGGAACTCCAGGGACTGCGCCCCAAGGGGAGACCGCAAGCCCGGCTCACCTCGCGCCCACGCTTGGCTCCATGGACTTAGCACTCTTCCAGCCTCAGGCACCGCGGGAGAGCTCGCGCCGCGGCTCTCGCGGAGACGCACCTTCTGGGACAGCCATTGGCTGCTTTTGACATATAGCTCCGCCCCTCCCTGGAGGGATGGCGAAGGCGTGCCAAGACTTCCTTACCATCGATTGGCTACTTCAAAGGTCGAGTCGGTGACGTCATGACACCCGGCCAATCAAGGCTCACGGACTTCATTTTTCCGGAGCGCCAGCAGCAGGGGCAGAAAGAAGGTGGCTACTGTCTGAGGTGGCCTTGGGCGGCCTCGGAGCGTTTGTGTCCCTCGCCCGCTACCTTCCTTCCTTTGGTTCCCACCATGCCGATGTACCAGGTAAAGTCCTATCATGGAGGCAGCGCACCTCTGCGTGTAGAGCTTCCAACCTGCATGTACCGGCTCCCCAACGTGCACAGCAAGACCGCCAGCCCCGCCACCGACGCGGGCCACGTGCAGGTAGGAGCGTGCGGCCCCGGCCTAGTGCGCAGGCGCTCAGCGCGCCGCGCCCTGTCCCAGTCCTTGTCCAGCCTAGTGCGCCGGCGCTGCGGTGCTGTGGGTCCCTTCTTAGGCTGGGTCAGTGCTACTGTAGGTTCCTGTCGCGATGGCCAGCCACATTGAAAAGCGAGCAACACCAAAAATGATCCTTCCGAGGAATTGACAGAGCGATCCCAGGGACACCATAACTCAGTGTAACAATTTTAATGACCCATCCTTCCCATTGCAACTTTTCCCTCAGAGGTCCTGACATTTGCTGTAGTTGGGTGTTGGTTTTCGCGATTAGGTTGTCGAGTATGTATCCCCAAGCTCTGTAATCTTGATGCACTGGACGCAGATCGCATGTGTTCTCTTGTCTGGCATGCTGTACAAGAGTTTCAGTCTTTTTTGTTGCAACAACGAAAGTGATAGTGTTTCTTTACGCTGCCTGGCCGCACTCCACCTGTTTATCTGCCCTGCCCCCACCCATGGGCACTGGTATTTATAGACTGGTATAAATAGGCGGTAGAGGAATTCCTGGTCTAGTGGGCAGGACTTTCTTCCACTTTACCTGGATAAATGGTTTTCTAAAGTGGTTATACCGGTTTATGCTGTCACTAGCAGGATAATGTAGGCATCCTAATGTAGTTTTAATTTGGGTTTCTCCAATTTCTAAGTAAGTTGAGGTCCTTTTTCATGTTTCCTGGTGGGGTGGCGGGGTTGGGACAGAAACGGGCCTTTGAACAGGGCTGTCTGGACTCCTGTAGCCAAAGATGGCCTTCAGCCCCTTCTTTGGCCTCCACCTCCCAAGTGCTGGGATTAGAAGGATGTACCTCTTTGCCTAATTCAAAGTGATGATCTTACCATGTTTATTTTATCACTACTTTTTGATCTCTTTTCTAAAGACTTATTCAAATTCTCTACTCTTAATGATGACACACAGCCCAAATTTCCAGCAGGCAGAAATTCTGGCATTCTGGACAGATGTGTGCTGTTGTGGTCCACTTTCTTGTTACTGTCATCCTTTATTTTAGCTAGCCTGGAAGAGAAGCGGTTAACCCCAAACCTAGTGATCTTAGCAGCTAACTGCAGAGCTATGAAAATAGCAGCAGACATGGTTCAGCGGCCCTTCAACTAGAGACTGTCATAGAGGCATGCTCAAATGCACCTCCGGCCGTGTATTCCCGGGGAACGACAAAGAACCCAGGGTAGGGTTGTCACGTCATTCACCCACATAGGTCTGTCTGTCTGTGCTGGAAATGGAATCCAGGCCTTTGCCTATGATAAGTGAGTACTACCAGTGAGCTACATCTCCAGCCCTGCCTAGTCTAAGTCTGCCTTACTTCCTTTAAACTTTGACAAGTGTCTTTCCTGGGAAGCTCTGAACAAACATCTATTTGCCTCAGGGCAGAAGTGAAAAACAGACCAAAAGAATTCCACCAAAAGTCTAGCTTGGTGAGTCCTGAGTTTAATCACAGTTATTTATGGGCAGTACAAGCAGCGACACCACTATAGAAAACACGCCCAGCAAATATTAATTGCTTGTATATCTTCAGGGGAGGGTGTTCCTGCTCAGCCTCACAAGCCCTCTGCCCCTTCCATGCTAGTGAACCCAGTCTTATGAGGATACCATGGGGTATGGGGCCCCTCTGACTGCAAGATGACAAGAGTATGTCGTGCTCAGCTTCATGAACATCTCTGAACTGTGATTTAGATGACACACTTCCTGCTGCAGGACCAACTCCTCCAGCAGAGGAGAACAACATGAATGGACAAGTAATTAGAAATCAGAACCACACAAAGAATTGACTGCTTTACATAAAATGAAGCCAGTGGATACTAGATCACAATTACTCTCAGCATTGGAGGTAGTGATGAGGTGTAAAGGTGAAATACTCAGATCCTGAGTATTTCGGTGTTACTCAGGAGAACCTAGATCAAGCTGGACTAGAATTCAGAAATCACAGTCCTGTTAGATTCACAGTTTCTACCTCAGTCTTCAGTGAGTGCTGATTCAATTTTGGATCTAGTAGCTGCTAATTTGGCCCTGGTGGGATAATTCCTATTGCTGTTTTTAAAAATAAGTAAGACTGCGCACTCGTGCACATACCCCTCTCCTCCCCCCCCACACACAGCTACAAGCTTTTAAAGGAGATTTGAGTGCTGAGCATGGGGCATGGCACCACTACTACCCAACATTTGGGAGATTGTGTTTAAGGTCATGTGGTTCTTTCTCTCTGTCACTCTCTACGCTCTCTCCATATATATATGTATATATATATGTGTGTGTGTGTGTGTGTCTATGCACAGAAATACATGCAAACACAACACCCATACTCATAAAAATAATAAATCTTAAAAAAGTGAGTTCCTTTCTCCCCTTAATTTGTATAAATTATTTTCTGTTTTTTACATATCATTTCTTTGTTCATTCAGGCATGGTCTTTGGGGGTATTCTGGGAATATGTGGTTGAGACAGCATTTCATATAATCCATGCTAGCCTTAAACTTGTTTTGTAACAGTTAAGGCTGTCCTTAAACTCCTCATCTTTCTGCCACAACCTCCCAGATGTTGAAATTACAGGTGTGCATCACTATGGCTGTTATTAAGAATAAAGGATTCTGACTACAATGAGAAGCTCACCTGAGTCCAGAAGTTCAAGGCCATCCTGGAAAGCACAGAGCAAAAACCCTTCTATTTTAAAAAAGTTGTTTGTTTGGGTTTTTTGTTGTTGTTGTTTCTTTTAGGCGTGGTGGTGCACACCTGTAATCCTAGCTCACTGGAAACTGAAACAGGATTGTGAATTCCAGGCCAGTTCAGTCTGGAAACCCTGTCTTAAAGTGGGGAAGAAAAAAAAAAAAAAGGACTAGGGGAGGAATAATGTTTTGTTTTTATTTTCTTACCTAAATAACTGAAATAGGAAATCAACTATTTCTTTAAGATTAATTTTATTCTTATTTATGTGCATGTGTGTATGTCTGAATGAATGAATGCTATGTGTATAGTACCTGCAGAAGCCAGAAGAGGGTGCCAGATCTCTTAGACCTGGAGTTACTAACAGTCAGTGATGAGCTTCCTGATGTAGGTGCTGGGAACCAAACAACCCTTTGGAAGAGCAACAAGTACTCCTAACTGGTGAGACATCTTTCCAGCCCCCAAATAGGACCATTTTAGTCGTGGTCAGTCTTGTTTCTTCATTGTTATAGAGCATTGTGCAGGACCCTTTGGCCTGGAGGAAAGGAGTTGGTTTTGTTCTTTCAGAGAGTCTTAATTTTTATTATTTAAATCCATTTATTTTGGTGGGGAGGAGTGTGCCTACTATGGCATTCATGTGGAGGTCACTGGACAGCTGGTTCTCTTTCTACCATGTGGGTCTGGGAGATAGAACTCAAATTTCAGGATTGCCAGCCAGCACCTTATATACTGAGCCATCCTACTGGTCTGTTGCAAATTAGCTCAATATGGGAAATTACCAGGCCAGGTTAAGGATAACAATTATATTTTTAATTGTTATAATGGGAAAACTCAAGCCACAAGAATGGGAAACCCGACTTGCTCTGTCTGGTGCCCAGCGAGAGCGCACACCTGGTCCCTCTCTGTTTTTCTTCCTGGGTTCCAGGTAGCCATGCCTTAACTGGGTGTGATTGTTTAACAGAGCTTCTCCATCATCTCCCCCTTTTGTCTAAACAAGATCGATCCAAACCCAATACAACTATATACAATAGGAACAGATAGCAAATATAAAATTACAAACAATAAACAATATTAAGCAAGGAATGTGTAACGAAAGTTTTACTAAACATTCTATTTCAAGAAGTCTAAATCTTACCTTGAAATTAAGCTTGGCTAAATTATGAGGAAGGTAACTACAACTATCTAATCTTCAACCCCATTGAAGATCTGAGAAGGGAAACAATATTACTTGAGTAAACAGGAAGTGCAATCGAGAAACTTCCAAAATGTGCAACAAATGACAGAGACAACTGGCTACCTGGGCAGTCACCCAAAGTCTCATTTGCAATGTTGAAGCAACCAACTTTGGCTAGGGCCTAATGTAACTGACATACCATTTTCAAAGGCAAGAAACTTTTCAAAACTATCTTACCCTGTCTTGGTAGGATATGACAGTCCTGTTTTTTCCATTTACGGATACTCTGTATCTCTGTCAGTGGTTGAGGTATGGGCATTTCTTTGCCCAAAGGCCAGTTCTGCCAAGAAGAAAACAAGCTCCCAGTGGAGTGTCTTTGGTGCTCAACATTCTCTCGGGAATAGATCAGTGTTGCCAGGAGTGATTGTGTCTCACCACCACAGAACTCTAAGTTAAATTAAATGCTATTTTCTACAGTTCTTTGAAGAGGTTGAAGATTATCTATCTATACAGAATATAATCTCTATGTATCTAAAGAACCTGATTAATCTAACTATAAATATGACAAACATAGATGACTATTGATCTGCAATTCCTGATACCTATCTAACTTAAAGACTAAGACAATAAACAACTGTGCAATAAATGAGGACAATAACCTCCAAATGTAAACAATGTATAAGTATCTTGATCAGAGGTAGAAATGTACACTGCAATATGGTAAATATATATATCAATACATAAACAA